CTTTCTATTATCAGTAAACGGGGTCGTTGAAGTGGGCCGGTTATCGAACCTCTTAGGATCAATATGACTTGCTATACCCGAAATTAGTTGTTCGGTTATTTATTTTCTCTTTCGTGACTTATTATTGATAAGGCAAACCGACTTTTGAGAATGTTTCCGCACGTTTCTACGTGATTTTTTTCTTTTCCTTTAAAACTTTAACAAAAGAGTTGGACCGTTCAAAATATACCAAACTCTGGAGAATATTAGAGATAAGGGACCATCCAAGCGGCATTTTAAGCGGCTTCTTCACATACTCCGACTGCTTTCTATAGATAGTTTTCGATAAAGATTCGAAGAGGAGTCTTACGTTAAAAATATACCCCGAAAACATTATAGATAATAATAATGCCAACATTCCAACCCTTTTTTTTTTTGCATCTGCAATTCGTCTAAATGGCATCTTCCTCCCCGTAATCCCTTATACATTCTCCTAATCTACATATTTTTTTGACAATATTATGGTTTATCTTGTATTTTATTCAGCAGAAATTCTTCATTCGTCGACTGAATAAGTGAACATCGGAATGTCAGACCGTAATGATAAGCAGAGAACGTTAAGTATATATATATTTTTTTAATAAAAAAAATAACAGAAATCAATACCTAATCGAATCAAATATGGAATAAATAAATAAAATATGTTATAGATTATATGGAATATACTTTAATGAAGCAAAACTCGAAAAAAGAAACAATAATGATTTATCATTCAGTACAAATAGAGGCTCGTTACTTAGATAGAATCAAATATAAAGTAAATGGGGAAAAAAGGCAATATAGAAGGAATTGGCATTACTCTAATCGAACCTAATACGGTGGAGAGTCATGTATTCATCATTATAATTGAACTTAATAAAATCCTAATCGAATCGAATATGGAATATAAAAAATAACCATCCGACCGAACTCAATAGAAAGTTATAAGTTCTTAATATTCGTGACAAATAGAAAGGAAATGGGCATGTTCATTACTCTAATCGAACCTATTATAGAAGCTACTGTTTATCATTCCTATCGAAACTACCATTCATTATCCTAATCGAAGTTAATAGTGAAATATGGGAATTTATACACGACTAAATACAATTTGTATTAAGATTAATCTGATTAATAAAATTAACTTTATCATCTCTACCAAAATAGTTTAAAACGTTAGCCAAATATAATAATATAATAATAGAAAGTTACAAACAAGACACATTCATTTCCGAAGAAAAATCGTTATTTGCGGTGTCTAAATTCGCCAAAATTCGCCTAATTAAACCTAATAAGAGAATTAAAAATTTCATTTCTTTATTCTAATCGAACCTAACGAGTGAAATAATTTCTACACCGAATCGATATTCTAATTAAGCACACACAGTGATGAAATTTTAGTCTGGTATTTTTTTTTTTTAGTCAATAATTTATTTTAAATTACATTATTCTTTCCACTAATAATTATTTACCTTACCGTAAGCCGTTTAATGCAGCAAAATACCTTCATTTTACCTTCAATAATCGACATTCGAACAAACTAATTGACCCTAACAAGATTAAAGCACCCCCCTCTTTTTTTTGTTCCTTATAAATCAATGAAGTGTAATTGAATCTAATAAGCGGCGATACAACGTAAATTTAATTCGATTGGGGGAAATAATTATTTTTCGAACTCGATTAAAGATTTTTGTAGGGATTTAGAATATTTTATGTTTTCCTTTTCTTTTTTTTCTCATTGGAATCAATTATTTTGCCTCCGACATCCGCTTCAATCGAACGAAATTAAAGATAGTTTCGTCCTCGATATACATACTTACACAAATTATATTTTACAGTTTCCTATTGCCAAGAGACAAATTTAATTTGTAAAAGATAGATAAATGCTCGGACTAACTAGTTTTAATGACTTGTTAAGTAGAAAACTTCAACATTATCTTTATTTGATTTTAAGTAGAGTTTTCGTTTCAATGAGGTGCGATATATATATTTTTTTAATAAAAAAAATAACAGANTATCCTTACGAGAGATATAAAAATATAAAATAAAATGGAAACTTTTCGTGAATCCGTAAGTGGTAAATATCTTCGTTTATAAGTTTAAATGGTGAAAAAAATAATTATTATTAATTTATTAATTTTATGAATTTTTATTGGTAAATTTATCATGGCGCCATCTGTTAGTAATTTATATTATAAATTTTAATTTTGTCTTATTTATTTAATGGAAGGTTTAATAGTATTTAAATTTGAAAAAAAAAGGAAATTATTTGTTAATAATTTATTTACCGTTTTCAGGCTTAAAATATAAACAAATATTTATCGTTTTAGCTTAAATCTAATGAAAATAATTTTAATTTTCTTCAATGGATTTTAGTCCTCTTTTTTTTTTCCTCCTTCTCCTCCTCCTCCTCCTCTTCTTGTTCCTTCTTCCGTTTGGTTTCTTTCCTTTTCTATCCTTTTGTTTGGTGTGTTTACGTTTCTCCATCCGTTCCATTCCGTTAAGTTTAATCAAGCGTATATCAAAAATTAAATCGTATCATTAAAGCTTCATAAATAAATATATAGCCGCAGATATATGTTCTTATTCGTAATTAAAGTGTTAAAAATGATTTTTTTAAAAATACGATATGGATATAAATACATTCTGCCAGCCATTAAGATATAAAACTTGCTAATAAACACGATATTTACACGTTAATGCGGTCGGTGGACCCCCTTTTTTTTCATAAGGATGCGGGTCTGTCGCTTGTAGAGAAGAATGCAATAAAGGAAGAAATCTGAGAAAATTTGATAAAAATGAGAAAGTTAAGAGAGGTTAATGCGTTATGTGATGGTAATTGTTTTTAAGAGTATTATAAATTAATTAAAACAAGTGTAATTATACATCGGAAATGATATTGGTGAGGATGAAGTAGCGGTTGAAAATAGCCTTGAGACATCTCATTAAGGGGCCTAAAGTACGTCCTTCGTAATCTCTCTTCTCTTCGTAATGACGTACTAAGGACAAATTTCCATCTCTTTTCATCATCTTTCAGCTAATAACTGTTTTTCTCTTTAAAATATTTTCTATGTCAGAATAAATAAACTGTTTCGATTTTTATCTTACGTTTTCTCTCTCTCTCTTCAAAAAGTTGGCTCATTAGCGTCATTTTTTTCTTTTTCTCTCTCTCTCTCTTCTTATTCTCTTCTCTTCTTCGAAAAAATAAAAACTTTTAAATAAATAATATTTATAGAAAGGAAAAGAATTCTCTCTTATTTTTTTTAGGAAATGTGTTTTGGCGTTACAACGTCTCAAAAACCGAAAATTTACTGATTTGTAAGATGATCTCGATGCCGTCTAACACGTGAGTCGATTAACGAATCAAAAAACTGCTTACTAAAGCTGAATTTCTCTTTAGTAAGTAATTTTCAATTCGTTAACCGAGTCATTTGGCGTGAACGTCATAGGGAAGGGGGCGATGGCCTATCCGCATTAATTTCGAATTATATTATCTATAGGATAGTATATTATGTACTTAAATCGAAATTTAGATATTTATCTGTTATTTAAGGAACCGATAACGTTTTCTTTATCTATCCGGCTTTAGTTACGTTTTTATTTGCATTTTTGAAATATATATGTGTATATATAAATCCATTTATTAATAATTCTGTAAGAATGATAAATTATTTCTGTATTATCTTGTGTAGTACAGAGTGAAGCATTTACAGAATTATCCTGTAAATACAGAAAATTGATTAATCGAACTTTATCGTTCACTTACAAGATTCTGAATGTTTACGTAGTGATAAATTTTTCCTACTAAAACTTTAAGTCGCGTATGGAATTTAAGCGAATAATTTTTTTTTTATAAGCAATTTCTGAACAGATATAAAATATATATAAATTATATTTTCTACTCAATTTTTCTACAAGTTCTTTTCTAACTTAAATCCTCTTATAATCCGATTGCTCTATGTTATCTTTCCATCATCCGTCGCCATTCTTCCTCCGCAAGCGAAAGTGTATTCAAATAAATTCCGATCGCATTTATTCATTTTATTTTGGATGATTTGAAATTTATACACTTGATTAAGAGTGTTTTTAAAAGCCAAAATTCCATTTTGTGTTCATAACTTAAGAAAAAAAAAGGAATTTCATCGGGATTTAGAAAGATTTCCAACTGGTAGTATCGGTTTTAAGAACTGTTTGGTATCCATACAACAGCGCTATAATAAAATTCAGAACACGAACCATCCAGATACTGTACTTTCCACCGAAGGAAAAGAACTTCTACTTTTATTTGTTGATGCTTCCAACCCGAACGGGATTTACATATAAAACATATCTACAATAAATTACTTTAAATATTGAAATATACTGATATCGTGCTATTAAATAAACAATATACTATATATATAAATTACATATTAATATTTATAAGGCCTATTATAACAGAAAAGTAATTTACTTTTTAAGAATCTGGTCTTGAAAGTTTGCAATTGGCTGATTTACATGGTCGATTCGAATTTTCCCCTAACGATCTCGTATATTAGTGTTGTTCTCTATCTAAAGATGATTCTAATTGGTGAAATGCTTTACTAATGGTGAAAAAAATTGCTCGACTCAGCAACAAGACGACTAAATTCACTAAGTAAGAAGCGAGACAATACTAATGACACTCAAAATTCGCCCCAAGCTACAGTGTGCAGTTGTGATGATCCATACTCGCTTCTAGTCACATCTTTATAAGAAAACACTATATAATATCGGTAAGAAGAATTAGAAGAAACAAATATTCGATTTTTTCTTTGTTAAACCTGCTACGGATCTTAAATAAGATTTGGGACAAAGTCTTACATTCTAACCCCAAATTATATAAAATTTTCAACTCGATCGATATTTAATCCAAACACTAAACGGATCCCCCAATATAAAACTGTGTTACATCATTGAATTTTAACAATCTAATCATCTAAAAATGATCTAATTTTCTACAGATGGTGACTAGAACGAAAAAAGTGTTCGTTGGAGGTTTATCGGCCCCAACAACGTTGGATGATGTTAAAAATTATTTTCAACAATTTGGAAGGGTAAGTTGGTCGTTTATCCAGGTTTATAAATGTATATAAACAGAAAATAATCGCAGCAAAAATAACAAACTTTGTTTCTCTTTTGGCAATTTGAATGAAGAAGGAATTGGTAGAGCATCGATCAACTAATAAGATCAGGAGGAGATTGTAACTCGTCCATTGCATCATGTGTCAACCAATCAGGATGCTTTCAATCCGGAAACACTCAATTGAAAAGAATTGGGGTCATTGGGATGAAGTGAAACAAATTTTATCGCTTAAAACAGAAAATAAGATCTGACTCTTTCTAACTTCACTTCAAATATCAATTTTAATTAATTCGTCTTTCTATCAAACGTGCCTTTTCAAAGTTGCGATTATTTTCCTTTTCCATTCCATTTTATTATTATTATTATTTCGCATTAATTAACATTTTTGCTTTTTATTTTAACCTTAAAATATTTAAATATTTAACTAATTTCAGCTTATTTTTAACTTAAAATGCCACAAATTCAACTTAAAATATCATACAACCTATTTTAAAAAAAGTATTTAAACTTTATGCCCAACACATAATCTCCATTCGATAAATTGATTTTAAAATAATATTTAAACTCAGTCTTGTACTCATATATAATTTATAGCATACTTAGAACTGTTAAATTTCTAAATAGTAGCTTACAATCGAAGACTATTTTTTTCAGTTTCAAATGTTAAATCTTCCATTTTAAAGTTTAATTTTCGATTTAATTTTTTTTAAATGATTAAAATCGAAGACAAAATCACAATAGATGAATGTAATTTTTTAAAAATTTAGCTTTAAATTAGTTTTCCTAATAAAAAAAAGCGCATGGATTTCCTCCACTTCTGCTTTATAGACATATCAATCTCGGATATTATCCTATTGGAATAGGATAAAAATATAATTTCATTATATTTTATATGAATTTTATTGATATTATCCGAGATGAATTTTATAAAAATGTAAAAAAAAAAATTTTGTACCGGTTCTTAAAACCATCAGAAAGAGTAGGAATGATTCCAGGTGTAAAAAAATCATTTGTGACAGGTAAGAATAAATGGTTACGAATGATACTCATTCATTTCTTGCATGATTCGTGGGTCACGTCACGAAACCATGTGAAACACGAATGACGCTTTAAATCCTTCTGCATAAAATACGAGTAACCGGTAATCCCTCAGAAATAAATACGAATGAAAATTTGCCTGAAACTGCATATACTGTTTCCAACTAATACCTTTTAAATAATTTAAATATTATATTTGCCAAGTGGCAAGTATCATCCAGGTATTTTCCTTTGATTTACTTTACAAAAATTGATTTCTATGAAAATGCATTTACGAGATTTTTCTGCTTTTTTTTTCAACGGGATCGCGACTAATTTGCAAAATGAGTGGATAATATATAGCGTTTAATTATATTAACAAGTATTATAGATGATCACTTTCGCTAATTTTTTTTTTTATGATGGAAACTTCTATCAGAAAGCAATTTCTTTATATGAATTTTGATTGTTTCGAACGCTTGGCAGCAACTCCACCCAAATTTTCATATTCTCTTAATGACATTTCAATACTTCTTCGAATATTTGTCAAAGTTGTACGGTACACTAGAGACTAGAAACACTTGGCCAAATTTATATACAGTGCTCCTCCCATCTCCTTTAAGGGTTAGATAATGATCAAAACTTAAGTACGTCATGTAATGCGTAGACATTTTGCATTACATTATTGTCTAACTCCGCCTAACATTTTGTTTCGGACTTAATATAATATCATCGAAAACCGATCGATAATACACGAAATTAATTAATAATTATCCCGTCCATGATTCGCTGTTACGTCATAGAAAATGTAATATTACATCATGCCGCATCATAACGCGTTAATAAGCCTAACATCCAGTTAAAGTCCCGTTTACGGCGTGTCCAAAATTATTATCTTTAATAAATAATTCCAAAATACTCATCGAGGCGAGTGCCGCTTGCATAACAACTGTGTTTGCAATCAGAGGAGGAGTGAATGGTGATGGTAGCGCGCATTGTACTCTGTGATGCCCGTTACCATAGCAACTCCGAATTGTCATTCTTTTGACACAAGAGAAGTCTACAGTTCGAGGCAGAAGTTGCGCCTTTCCTCTTTATCCCAAAGATGCCATCAGTCTTCGACCCATTCGACCACACCTGCCCACACAATTCTTAGAATAATTATGCAAATTTCTCCCGCCCAAATTTGTAAATAAATGTATTTGCAAAGATATATACCGCTCCCGTTAAAATCTGGAAGCGCGGTACCACCCAAATTCTTAAAAATAAGAACGTCTGAATCTATTTAAGATTTTTTTTTCTCTTCCCCTTTAACTTTTCCCTTACTCGACTCCTCCTAGAATTTTTTACTCCGCCCAAATTTAATGTCTTCGCCATGTTTCTTTGTAATTATGCAGTTTACAACTTCGCCAAAAGTTATAAGATTGTCTTTCTCTACAGGACCCCCTCTGCATTTATTTCTACTAAAATCGTTTTAAATTGAAAGAAATTGTCTGCTGCTTTCTCCAATAAATTTACTTAATTATAAAATTATATTTTTCAACCTTTTTTTTTTCCGAGGAAGTCACATTAAATTCCTCAACCATTGAAAGCTGAAAACATTAAATGGCTTTAAACGTATTAATAATTTAGATAATCGCACGAAAGTAAATTAAAATAAAAAAAATTACTGTTCACACCACTAAACAATCCTGATTATCGGATTTCGTGCCGTGAAAAAATTTTCTATTATACAAATTTTCCCTGTAAATTATCCAACAAAAGTAGACAATATCAGCATCCTTCGCTTCGAATCATTACTGTTTGTCAGACAATATTTCATCCATGAAGATCCTCCCATATTTACTACCCGTAAACCTATAATTGAATATTAGTTTGTTCCAGCTAATTTGCTCTTCCCAAATTACCAAAATGTTTCTTAAAATATCGCACCGATTGGATAAACCTACGAGTTTCTGATGCACCCGTGAACGGATATTTCGCTTCACAATCTATATTAGTAATTTAATAACTTAACAGAAATGGCATTTATCGCCGTGACAGTGTCGTTATAAACACAAAAACAATTCAGTTACCGCGTAAACAGCAGAATTTAACGTTGGCAAATGGTTTCCTAATAGTTTAGAAAATTCTCTTTTCTGGATTGATGTACGGAATGATACTTTTCCGATTTTCTATTATTATAATAGCGTAATAGGCACAGGGGAGGTAGAAATGACATGTGCATCAGTAATAAATGACAATATAATTAGGATCATAGCAAACTGTACACAGTACAAGTTACAAGGGGCACATTACTTATTAATTATTCTCTCATCATACATCGTTGACAGGCTTGACAGTTTGGTCGACATCTGTTAAATTTCTTAAGGAATCTACCAATACTCCTAACCTCCAAATTATCCAAATCATTACCAATATTTATTATTCAAAAGTTGAATAAATTTAAATATAAATCGCGAAGCTACGAATTAAAAAAAGAAAAAACTCCTGCAGTTCCTTTGAGGCAGTCTTTTCCTTATAGCTCTCTGTAATGCAATAAAGTGTTATTTACAGGAGCACTTCGCCTTTTGTATTTTTTCCTTTTCCCTTTGGTTATTTTTTGAATCTTTAACAGTTTGTAAAGTAAAGGTTTTCAGTCACTGTCTAACAATATATTCAATCAATAATGGCGGCGTATGTGCCATCGTCGCGCATGGTCTGCGAGAAGAGATATTTGACTCTTTAACTGTTAATTATGGATGATAATCTTTATATTGATGTTCACGTTTTGTGTGGAAAAAACAGTGATTAGAGAGAATATTATGGCTTGTAATTAAACTGTTTTAATTTGTAAAAATAGCCAACGTTTATTTTAAAAAAATATTCCTTTTTTTCATTGGCAATTTAATCACTTAAAACTAATTTTTTTTTTTTTTTTGTAAATTTTTGACCCAAAAATTAGGAATTTACAGAATTAAAATGCTTCGTTATTAATTACGTTGATTAAATTGGCAGAATCGTATGTAAAATAACATAAAATAAATTTTCTTATTACGATTTCATTAAAACTTTTGCCATTTAAGTTTAGATTATAGTTAATATTTTTTTGTATAATTTACGCAATATTTTTACAATATATTTGAATTATTATTATTATTATTGCTTTTTTTTTAATAGCAAAAGTTACTATTTGCTATCGTCTTCTGAATTTTATTTTTAATGCACTTTGAAGTTTTATTATTATTATTTTTTCTTCTGCAGAAAGTAATGTGATATCTTTTAAGGGAAGATAAATACTATTTTAAAAGTCATCATCATCAAAGAATCATCAATAAAATTCTCAATATATGTCCTATTCGAGCATCGTTTTTCGTATCTTTGTAGTGCATACCGAAAGTTTAGAATTAGATTTTCAACAAACTCTTAGTGTTGAAACTTTGCACAAATTGCAGTTAAATCTTGATCATAGCTCATTCTCTACTTCCGAAGGCCGCAAAACTTAGTTAAAGCCGAATCGATCCGTAAATTTACTACCAGGTTCTACGCTAAACCTTTAGATATCGATAGGATAATGAAAGAAAAACATACTTAATACCCTAAACCCCTTTCTGTTTTTTTATTAAACAATATTTTTGGATAAATGATTTTTATTGGAATAATTTATGATTGTCCATTAATTTTATAGAAGTAAAACCGATGCAATAAAGAAAGATAATTCAGCATATGATGGGTGATTGAAACAGCTACTGTCAAACTATCCGTAACCATAGCAACGTATAGAAGGTATAGTGGCAATCTGGACAACCGGCAATTTCCCGACAAGAATGCAATATAAGATAAAATATGACACAATTCCTGGAATCTCACATCCTCTGTCTTTAGACCAATAGGCGAGTCAACTTAATATACAGTTATCATTTACTTGCAATATGTACCAATATCCTTACATAACTGGAAAACATCCAAAGAATTTTCTCATATAACTCTCTTCTTCTGATTAGAGAAGTTGGAAAAAATTAGTGAGAAAGTCACTGGCCTGGTGAGGACATCCTATTTTTTGATTCTTATTTCGGGATATACACGAAAACACAATGGTCAGACTGCATTGAAACGAGAGTAGGATCAGCACAATCTGCAAAAGTATCACTCGCAATAGGTAGAAAGTAGGAGATGATGCCAAAATGACGTCAAAAACTAGTATGTTCCCGAAGGTCTATCGATTACTACTCAGCCTAATTTGGGTAAATTTTACAGAGTATGACGTTTCAATTGACAAATTCGCGAAGGTCGAATGTTGGATATTCTCCGTTGATTAGATATACTCGATTAAAATGACATACTCCACCCAAATTGTCATCGTACAGCTCCGCCCATGAATGCCACACGGAAATAGATTTGACGAGTATTCCGAGAGATATGGATTAAAATGATGATTAAACTCATCATTTAAAAATATAACTCCATACAAATTTACATATCTAGTCTCTCAGATAATATAATACGTCACGATCCACCCAATCCGGATCGCTTTCTCTATGGAAATTTTTCGTCGATCTTCTGTTAGATCTTATCACTTGTTTCCACTTAACATATAATTAAAAGATTTATAGTTTTTGAAACATAAATTACTCTTTTAAGCCTTTTAATCACAAGCTCAGACAATGGCAACGAAAGGAAAGTCCTTTAATTCTTTATAATTGCCTAAAAGTTCGATAGAAAAATAAAAATATTATAAAATATCGGTCGCGTAGGTTAGCCATTTTGTAAGAGATCTCCGCCCGAAAAGACGTCCAAACATAGCGAGCAGACATTCTAATTAACAGTTCTGCCCAAAATTCTAATTAAGAATGTCCAATGTCTGTCGAACTTATAATTACGAAAAATGAAAGTTATCCAATTAGAATAATCGAAACATCGACGCAAAGGAATAAAAAAAAAATAAAATAAAAAAAGACGAATTGGTCCTGTTTAATTACGAAATTCTCTTTATATATTGATGGGCATATATTTTTCTATTTGCAGATAGAAGATGCGATGCTGATGTTCGACAAACAAACAAACAGACACAGAGGTAAGCGAACAAGAAGCCTTCTCAAAGTCAAAACAGACTAAGATCTGTGTCCTTTCAGCTTCCGTAATAGAAAACTGATCCCCCGAGTCCTATACACAACCAATTTACTGCCTATAAAATGATATCTTTTCTAAAACAGTCATTATTTTGTTAGCAGTCTTGGTGCTCCTTCACATCCACCATCTTCACTCGGTGCTCCTTTGCTTTTACTTCTGTCCCAAGGGCTAACGCTTACCGAATAAAATACAAACATTTGTTTAGAATTTAATACCTCTCTCTAACTTCTCCTCGGGCTTCTCGGGACGATCGCTGTTGGTGGGAGACTGAAGAAGATGTGTTTGACTGTGACCTTTACCGGTTGTCATGGCGACGTTCGTGGGTGGAATAATTCCTCTCTACAATAAATATCTTGTAACGATTTTTGCATTGTTTTAATTACACATTTTTATACACAAAACTCGTCTCTATTAATTTGCTTTAGCTCACGCATTTCCGTTTTGGCTTCACTTACGTCACGTCATCTCACGTCACGTTACGTCATTAAGCTAGATCATCATTTTGAATTATTTTTATAATTATTTAACCTATTTTATTACTATTAATGTTAAGATTATGACCTTTGAATTTTTAATTCGTTATTTATTTTTAATTTTTAATTCGTTACTATAATAAGAACAATTTAAAGATATTTTAAGCTTCATACGAAAGTTTTATCTACTTCTATTTTTTTTAGTTTATTTTTTTATCAACAGATGACACTAATGTTCGGAAATATAAATTAATTTATATATAAATATATATAATATTTTAGTTTAATTTTTAATCAATAGATGACACTAATTTTCGAAAGTATAAATTAATTTATATATACTTATATCATTTTTCATTAAATTTGAATTTTAAATACATTTTAAAATATTATTACGTCAAATTTTTCTTCTTTTATAAACCTTAGACTTATAATAATTATTATTATAATGAAAAAAAAGAAAAAATTAAGAAAAATTACGGAAATTATCCTGCCATCTGTTGAGTGAAATATAATTATGAAATGTTTAAAAAATTTTAAATAATAAATCATGTTTATTTAAATAATTATTATTAAAGAAAAATTAATTATATAAACCATCCTCGGTGTTAATAATTATTTACAGTTTATTTGACGATAAAAATTTATTTTAGCTGAACGAAATTAATTAATATTTATATTCTTTATTTCGCTTAGGGAATCAAAAAATAACAAAGTAAAATATTTTTCATAATTATTTTAACGTGCAGTTTTATTTTTAACACTGTAAATCCTTAATAATTTAAATGAATCTATCGCGCCATCTAGCGAGCGTAAAAAGAAGTACGAACGATTTAATTGAAAATAATGCGAACAATCTTTGCACATCTCTTCAATTCATTTCTTATTATCTCATGTTCTTTTATTAGAAAGTAATATGATCATTCCTTTGAGCAATAAGTCGTTATTAAAGGAGATCTTTTCCAGTAAAGTGGACAGTTTTGACTTTAGAAGCACTCTAACTGTTCATTTATGTAGCAGATGTATTTAATCGTCCATTAGTTTAGTAAATGTTCCAGACATATTTCCAAACCATTATTTGAGATTTTGCTAAATTACTTTACTGTCAAAATTACATTTTCTGTAATATACAAATCAGAGAAAAAAAAAATAAGTCAAGCTTTTCTTTTTAAAAATTTTACTAAAATTATTTTTAGATTAATAGATTTTAATTTTGTGAAAATAATTATTTCTAAGTTATTTTTAATTCTTCGTTAAATTTATTTTTTGAATAAGAACTTATTTTTAATTAATTAATTAATTAATTTCTATTTTTAGGTTTCGGATTTGTTACATTCGAAAATGAAGATGTTGTGGATAAAGTTTGCGAAATTCACTTCCACGAAATTAATAATAAAATGGTGAGGAATTTGATTTTTTTAAATGCTTTTTTCAAGTTACAAAATTAATTTACAATTATTTTTTTAATATATTCAAATTTTGAATTAAAAAATAAAACAATTTTTTTTTTAAAATACATTTTCTCTCACGAAGTGGAAGTTTGGGAGTTTCAAATATGGCGATTTACAGGAACGAACAATAGAATAATCGCTCCTTAAAACAACATTTTTTAAATTTTCTTATATAAATTTTAGGTGGAATGTAAGAAAGCCCAACCAAAAGAAGTCATGATGCCTAATAATGTAGCTAGGGGAAGAGGTGCAGGCCGAGGAACGTACGGTAGGATTATAAATAAAATATATATTATAATCATAATATTATATATAAATTTAAATATGTTTAAAGCCAGGTACACACGTACCGATATACCTAAACAGGCGCACCTGTCTACATGATGAAAAAAACACCTGACAGTTCAGGTATACCAGTACGTGTGTACCCAGCTTAATACAGTTATCTGTACTCAATATATCAATTAATATATCAGCAGATTCAACAAGATATATCTTTTTACAGATTTAGTGTGGCCATTAGGAGCATTGGCAGACGGTATGTGCATTTACTATAGAATTATAAATCGATGATATTAATATTTCTTTATATATAAATATATATATATTTTAGAAATTAAATTAAGAATGGGAGGTATTATTTTGAAGAGGATAAGTCATTTCATTTCTCATAACTTCCTCTGAAAAACTTATATTTTCTAAATAATCCTTGGATTTTTCTGTGGTTTCGACTGTTTTTTTCTTCTTTCTCTTATCTTTGATGTCGTTATTTCTTTGGATTACAATATTTATATTCTTTATTTCGCTTAGGGAATCAAAAAATAACAAAGTAAAATATTTTTCATAATTATTTTAACGTGCAGTTTTATTTTTAACACTGTAAATCCTTAATAATTTAAATGAATCTATCGCGCCATCTAGCGAGCGTAAAAAGAAGTACGAACGATTTAATTGAAAATAATGCGAACAATCTTTGCACATCTCTTCAATTCATTTCTTATTATCTCATGTTCTTTTATTAGAAAGTAATATGATCATTCCTTTGAGCAATAAGTCGTTATTAAAGGAGATCTTTTCCAGTAAAGTGGACAGTTTTGACTTTAGAAGCACTCTAACTGTTCATTTATGTAGCAGATGTATTTAATCGTCCATTAGTTTAGTAAATGTTCCAGACATATTTCCAAACCATTATTTGAGATTTTGCTAAATTACTTTACTGTCAAAATTACATTTTCTGTAATATACAAATCAGAGAAAAAAAAAATAAGTCAAGCTTTTCTTTTTAAAAATNGGGAGGTATTATTTTGAAGAGGATAAGTCATTTCATTTCTCATAACTTCCTCTGAAAAACTTATATTTTCTAAATAATCCTTGGATTTTTCTGTGGTTTCGACTGTTTTTTTCTTCTTTCTCTTATCTTTGATGTCGTTATTTCTTTGGATTACGTAACGTCTTTATTTTTATATTTAATCAAAATAATAATCTATATTTTAAAACTTACGTTATAATAAATATGATATTTGAACCGACCTCAACATGAATTATTGGTATTATATTCTTTAGGAAATAACTAAAATAAACGAAAAGAAAAATATTATTATTTTCCCAATTTATCATGTCAAGGTCGGTTTTTTAACTCTACTGTATTCTGGTTTGTTTTAATTATTCAAGAAAATATGAACAAAGTAGTTTAGAATATAATCTAAAATTATAATATAAAATATATAAATTTACATATACAGATAAATATATATATATATAAATGTTATAGGATATCATTATGTGTATTATCACATAGAACGACCGCCCGAGTGGACATATCATTTTATTTCAAAAACATCAAAATATACGTAGATTCTAGTCATAAAAATATTTTTTGATATTTTATATATATCTATACAAAAAATCGTATCCATTAACAGAACAAAAATAATATAAATTGTGCCAAATTTAGATCATTTAGAATTTATTTATTTATTTCTTCAATTTAATATAGAAACGATAGTGATATTTCTAAAATAATTTTTAGGCTATATATATATAATAAATAAAAAAACAAACAATAATTTCGTCCAATTTTAGAAATATAATATAGAATATATTAGGAATTAGTCCGTCCATATTTTTAATTGGAAAAATAAAAATATTAATAAATATTTTAGAATTAAAAAAAAAAAATGATATTTATATAGATCTAATATTATATAGTAAGATTAGGGATGTGATAATTTGATTTTATATTTTATAAAGCTCAATTTTTAGCCAAGAATTTTTAACAGATTTTTAATAAATTTATAGAATTTATTAATTTATATTTATACATTTACATAAATTTTGGCACTTTTGAAAAATTAAAAAAAAAAAAAATAATAATATATATGTTAAAAAATTTCGAAGAGAGAGAGAGAGAAAGAAAGAAATAAAAATATAAGTTTAGTGGTATTTTTATAGGGCGGTCGCTAGTTCCATATTTTGTCAAGAGATGGCCGTCGAATTTTTTTCTTTTTCACTTTTTAATTGAAAGTTATATTCGAAATTTTGCCATTTTATGGGGTTTTACATTCAATTCTCTCGCTTTCAGAATCCAATTTAAACTTACAATTTTAATATTTTTAAATACATTTTTTCTCCCCTCCCTTCTCCTCAAAAGTTTTATTTTTTAAGTATATAAAAATGTTAATCACAATTTTAAATATTACAAATATTAATCATAATACAATGTTTATCAATTTTTTTTTATTTTTTATTTTTTAATTTAATACAATCGTGGAATATTTATTTATAAAAATTTACATGGAAAAATCGTAAATTTTCAAATTAAATTTTTAGTTCAAGAAGTTCATTCATGAAATAGAACTTTTTTTTTAACACGAAAGACTGGATGAAGGTAATCTATGTTGATTATTTTTATCAGAATGTAATAAAATAAAACGAAAAAAAAACCCGGTAATATAGTTAAATTAAAAATCACTGTTGTCATTTAATCTTTTATTTCAAAGTTTCTACCAAGTCGGTTCAAATATTTCAACTCCAAGTAACTGAAAACACAAATTAGATTCTGCAAGTGAGAGAAAATTATATAAAGCCGAAGAGAGGCGTAACCAAAAAAAAAAAAAAAAAAATTAAAATAAAATAAAATACATCCTGGATAGAGTGGACGGTGGGTCCTTTTATTTGGCAATTCGCCTGAAAATTTATTTAAGTAACGTACGAAATCACTCGAATCTTGCTCCTTACTCCACTCCCCTCAATTAAAAATAAAATATATATTTAAAAAAAAAGTAAGAATTTTTAAAGATTGAATCATAAATTTGGGTGTGGCTATCTTGTGATGTCTTCTCTATCCAGATTTTTTGGTGATTTCTAATATTAAAAATTAATATTAGCGTCTTATATAGATGCTGCGTGTATCTCCATGCAATAAAATTTAGTAAGCTTTACAAAATTGAATTCTAATCTTAGTCAAGCCCCTGATATTAATTTTTAATCTAGTGCTGATGTGTGTATGGTGGTAATAAATTAGCACTTAGAGAAACAATAAAATTTTAGTGCTTCTATTTTTACTTTTCGAAATTTATGCAAACTTATAAATTTAAAAAAAAATAAAAAAAAAAAAAAACTTGTAGTCCAAATTTTTTGGGATATAATAAATTCCCATTTTGAAATAATTCCCTTAGAAAATAATAATTAGATTACGAATTAGCGTTTTAAACTTACCGCAAAAAAGGGATTATTTGAACATTTCTGGTTTAATTCTAAACACTAATTCAATTATAACGTAAAATTCTATGAAGGAAAATTATATATATATATCTAGGTGTTCTCCTGATTAGCTTAGTTTTTCAATAGAACAGAATAGATATTGGTGTCAAATTCTTTCTATCTATGAAGTACTCGTATGGTCTTGGTAGATTGCTTAGGAAATTAATATACTTAAAACTTACTCTCTAGGGCCGGGCTGGACCAAGAACTTAAACCCTACAATAGAAAATAATGCTCATATATAAGGAAAAAAAAAATGCTAGTTTTTTAAAGTAGGGACTGGTTGCTAGTCTGATATTGTCAACTCGGATATCCATATCCAGTTGTTACACAGATTGGCCCGATTATGGTTATTAGGACCAGCGCTGCCCTGTTATTATCTGTCTAGTCGTATTTTGACGTTTCTAATATCCTAGATGATAATCCTTTAATGTTAGAGGTGATACAGTTTACGGAGAGAATAAAGTCAGCATAGCAGCCTTTTAGAATTTAGTTTATTCATTTCCAGAATTTAGGCTTCTTTTAGCTTAATCATTTTTATATTTTCTTTTAATTTTGTCTTAGTAAAAGTTATTTACTTAAGCCTACTTCAAATATACTTAAGCCGTTAAATCGGTATAAAAATAGTTCTCCATTTCCCAAATGGAATGTTTGCCTTATTTATGAGTCTTTTTTTTTTTTCTTCTTCTTCTTCTTTTTAATTTTTAAGGAAAAATATGTATGTTAAAATTTTTAAATGTTTATTATACTTTTACTCGAAAGTATTCAAATTTTTATGAACATTTTAAATCGCTACATTCCTTTAAAAAAATATTTTTAATCATTCTAAATGAATTTATAAGAATTATTTGTTAAATTTAAAATTTTATTTTTTTGTTTTATTTATATGTAGATTTTAGTTTTTTAATTTGACTATATAAATATATTTGGGATTGGAGAACTCCATCAAAATGTCGTTTACGACAGCCAAATCGTCCGCCATCTTTTCTCTCTGCCAACTTTACCCGCCAGACGGCAGTTGTTGTGATGTCACACCGGTTTTGATATCGCCGTGTTGTTTTCGCAGTGTCCTCTCTGATGACAAACGAAAGAATTCGGATTGACGTCGAGTTTTTACGATTACGGAGATTTCTGACGTCACCTAAAGTGCATTTTTTTTTTCTTTTATACAGAAATTTTTTTTTTACTCCATCCAGATTTGGAATGGAAATCATCAGTTTACGGTGTTACGTAGACAATTTAAAGCGAAATTTAAAACAAAAACAAACAAAAAAAAAAAAGACTTAAGAAGCTTTCCCAAACTGAATTTGTTTCCGTAATTGTTGCCGATGTCGATAATGTTTGCGTTTTGAACAGTTTCGGAGACGTCGAATTTCAAAATGTATTCTACGATTGGAGGAAGAATTCGTTATGTCGCGTGAAGTCCATTTGACAGTTTTAAACGAAATTCCTAGACGTAGCTAAATCGTGTTGACATATAAAAAGAGAAGAAATCGGCTAATGTCACAATAACTGTCGTTCGGGTGGCAGGCTGTTTATGTTGTTGCCGCCCGTGAAAGAAAAAAAATATATATATATTGCCTGTTTCGATATGTAAATATGCAGCAGCTTATTTAAAAATCGCGCGCTTTTTTCTTGACCAGCCTACAATATATATTATATATTGGCTGCTGTATGTCCATGGTTTTCACTTTCTATTTTGTAAATGTTTTTTCCGAATTTGTCTTGTTGTTTCGCTGAGAATGTTTTAAAGAAATGGGGACGAACGAGGGTTATTGCTGTTTTTTATACATTGCAGCTATGAGGAAAAGATATTGGAATGTAATTTCGGATGATTTTTTGAAAAAGTGTCCTACTACTTGGTATGGTGATATTATTGGTTTGGCAATGTCTTGTCTATTAAAATGGTTATTATGTTTACAATGAATTGTGAATAAAAATTATAATTTATGGTTGATTGTGTGTCAGATTTCTTCAAAACGCTGCACATTGTTTTCGTTTTTATTAATTGCTGGGAAACGTTGAATTTTTTTTTTATTTTCTAAATTTTAACTGAGTTTTTAATTGCTTTTTTATCTCAAAGATAACAATGGATTATTTTTTTTTATATTTTGCAATATTTTATTTGAACATTAGCATGCTGATAAAAATTTTGTTAGAAAAATTTAAAGTTTTAGAAATATTTAGGAAGCAGTAAGAAGATGAGGAATGTCGGAAGGCATCTTTCGAAGACGGCGATGAAGATATCATCTGGATTGTGCATGTTATAATATATATAAACCTTGTTGTAAATAACATTAATGTGTAGTTTCCTGTAGTTTAGTGTAGATTAGAGTAGTATAGATGTTGCCAAACCTTTTTGTAGTATCACCATCATTGAGTAGTTTTAGTATACTTAACTTTCTACCCTTTAGATGATTGTACCTTTATTAATAGAATCTAGTAGAATAAAATTCCTTTCTAATTAGTTTGGCGCCAAAAGAAGTAATTGTGGGCTTAAAATTTAAAACCCTTTTTTAATATTAAAATTAATCTACCCTTTTTCGTTTTTGTAAGCGCGGTCTGGCCTGTCTGCTAAGGCAGACTGGGCCCCCTCTATTCGTGTTAAAGGGTGACGGGACCCGATCGGGCCTGGCCGCGCTTGCTTTCTTAAATAGGAGGGAATATTTTAGTAAAAATCGGCTTCTTAGGTAGTTTGCTATTGGTATTAGGCTTATATGTATTTTTATCACAGGTCATTTTACCAGAGGTCGTATGCCTTTAATTCTGCTCTTGCAAGACGAAAGCCGAGGTAAATTCCTTTGAGTATATCCCATTTAAAGCGTTCAGAATGGAAAAATATATTCTTTTGGCTCCTTTTTTACTAAAAAGAATAAACATATATTGTAGGATCCCAATAACCTGTAGTTTCTTAATTTCATCCATCCCAAATATTGAATATATATTCTCTATATATACATATATATAAATGTACCTAGTGTTCCTCTTTAGAAGGTCTTTTCTTGTTCTTTTTCTCCTCTTATGCATTTTAGACATCTTTCCATTTTTATACTTTTGCAACGGTAGTTGATATCCCTGGTTTGATAGTAATTACCTAACTTGCTTGTAGTTTTAATTTCTCTAAAACCCTTAGTTCAGGTAACAGCCAGGATTTAGTATATTAAATACCGTGTGTCGATAGTATACCTCATATCCTTAGTAGTGTAGGCTTAGAAAAATTTATCGTCGGGCACACGGTACTTAATCCGATTCTGTGAAGCGGAAGGTTTTCAGGTAAGTTTCAGGTGTGAAAATAATCTTTTAACCTCCCTTTTTACTAAACTGTGACTATGCTCTTCTTCTTTTCTGTCTATCTTTCTTTCCCCCTTTATTAAGGCGTATATCACGGTGGAGATGCGGTGGCGTAGAAAATAAGGACCGCTCCACGGGTCCCCAAATTTGGCGTATTGAAGATTTGGGGTGTTCACAAAAGAGCGGTCCTGGGGCCATGTCACAGTTTAAGTAAAACGTCAAATTAATCTTTTTCCATTTTTTAGGATATACAGGATACGGTTATATAAGTGCTGATCGGCACGCCACTACTGCATTCTTCACCGAGACATACGCCGCCCCTAGCTACACAAGGGGCGATGCACCACCACCTGTGTCTGCTGAGACTGTAATGACAGAACAATACAGTCAAGATCAGGCAGCAGGTAGGTGGATATTAAATCCTACCTGCCTACCTATCTACCTTGCAACTGAATGGGCCACCGAGAGAGAGCTCGCCTCATCGAGAGAAAGTAAAGCCTCTCGGGGGCCCTTTGGTATATATTATATACTCATGTTTTACTTTATTCACAAGTCACGCTTGATTATTCCAATGTATTGTTCTGTTTGTTTCAGTTGAGTTGAATGGACAGCAAACATCACCACCTCTATTAACTCAAGCATTATCAGGTAAGAAACCATATTTTAGTATATTTACATTGTATAGACTTAGTTTATTAATACGTTATAAATTTATTTTATGATAGTGATAAGCAATTATGGTCCTCAAGGATTTGCACCACCGACTTCACCAGCAAATAATCGCAACTTCCCAGCTACCAACAGTCCCGGGCCCATGGAGATGTACAGCTCTAATCAAGAGAGCGTCGGTTACGTACAAGCGACAAGCCCTCAACCTACAGCATTTCCACCAATAGGTGTTAGTAGGGTGAGCTGTTGTCTTTTGTAAATGTAAGATTGGGCGAGAAAGATCAAGTTATTGGTTTGTACATGATTGTGTACACCTGTACACAATTCTTACATTTGAAAAACAAGTAAGGTTTATGCTTATTTTTCAAATACAAATAAGGGTTGGGTAAATTCAAGTATGGCTTTAACTTTCATTTAGGACTGTTTTAATTGATTTAAGCTTTAATGCCTAATTTAGGAAAGAAAAATTTAAAAGGGTTTTTCTACATTAAATTTAAATTGTTGTCTATTAATAATTTATTTTAAATTATTTTTATTAATTTAAAATATATTAATTAGTTATAAAACTTTAATTATAAGTATTGATAGAATATATCAAATGTCTTTATTAAAAATAAACTGCATTCAGGACCGATTTTACCACTAGGCATGAAAAATATTTGCTTAGATTTAAATAAAATGGCATAATAAGAATGGAAATTTTGCCTAAAATTATAAAGCCAGTGATTAATTATAAATCTATTTTGAGAATCCAGACGAAACAAATATTTTCATCTATTTCTTGAGAGATTCCCTTTCTTGAACGGATATTCATACCGTCAATACTTTCATCTTAATGCCGTCTTTCTATCATCTTTAAACTTTGTCCTCTGTCTTCAATGTATCTACATATTCCATTTTCCCCTGATCTACTTCTTATCTTTTTTCCCTTCATCTACTCATCACTCCAATTTCCTAATGAGAATCTCTCTAGTTCCGTTCTTTTGATATGCTCTTACCATTTTACTCTTGAAGTTGCTACTCTAACTCTTAACTCTTCTTACCGAAAGAATTATTAGCCAGTCAGTAACTTCAAGATTTAAATAATTAAACGATCTTAGCATTTTTCGAAGCAATTTCATTTTTATCGTTTGCATTTTGTTCTCGTCTTCAAATAGTAGCCTAATGGAAATGATTAACCGTCTAATTTATCGGAAAAGATTTATTTTCTAATATGTTGAATACAATAAAAATTTTTGCATTTGGATATTATTTATTTCTGTTTTAAGTAGCCCTTTTAAATTCATTCTTTTGTCTATCAGGTACCGCTCTTAACAGGGTTGTTTTATTATTGTAAATAATCTGAATTCGAAATCTAAACTTGTGCTTTATTTCGGATTAAGTTATCGCCCACCTTTGTTAGACTAATGCTGCAAGTCAAAATAAAACTAGGCAGTTAAACGGTGTATATAGCCTATATTTTTTAAGATACTATTGCTTTATGAAAGACATGACTTAGGCCAATCATTAACAAGAAAAATTAATTTCAATCCCTTTACGTAAAACAATGTGGTTTCAATCTATTGCCATGATGATCCAGATTCAAATCAGATCCTTAATAGGCAATACCGGTCAGGACTTGATTCCTCATCTCATTCATTTATGTTGCCGATCTTATTACGAATCACGCTAATTGTGATCTGCTTCCATTTATAAATCACTCAAGATATACAATATTAAAAAGAAAACAATTCAATTTTACAAATAAATTTAAAAGTACTAGAGTATTTTTCACCAACAGAAAACATCATCAAATAGACCAAAATATTTTGATGAAAACATTTTTCGGACATATAATTTCATCTTTGGCGATTCAAACTTACATTTATTTCAAATTCCGAAGGACATAACATTTTATCACCATCACAAAATTGAAAACAAAACGTTCTGTTTACATTCAAATACTTCGTAACAACTTTATTTTTAAAATAATTTTGTTTTATTGATACAAATATTTTTACATATTCCTGACATCTGTAACAATAATAATAAACACATATTAATGTTGGCAAGCGTTTATTATTAATGTTAATAAGCTTTTATTACTATTGTTCTTGTTAATACTGATACTTCTGACTAATAAATTCCGTTAATTTCCTAAGTTTTTCGCCCATCAATGGCTCAATGGATAAAACCACTGAACAACTGAACATTAGTAGTTAGTCGCCAGTTTGCTCCTGACCAACCACATGCAGTTTTCCGAGTTTTCTTCACATGAACACCTAAATATGAGCCAGTTTCCTATAGAATGTACTCAGGCATCTCCTTTAGCAGATTGTCCTTACTTTTCGTTGTTTCATAAATCCAATCCTAAGTTATCTCAAAGTAGGCCTACTTTTCCGCATATTCAGATACTCCTATTGATTTTTACGATTCACTATATCATAATCTTTGCTTATAATATATAAACTTATATAAAATTGCTCTATACTTCGTTGTTTTTATTGTTTATAGTCGGACTAATTAATCTCTTACATAAACACATCTATATAAGTGCACTATTAGGGGAGATCGGGGCAACTTCGGCATGCGGGGCAAGTTTGTCAAGCGCTTTTTTTAAAAAACAAATTTAAAAAAAACTTTGATTATAGGTTAGGCAGTTGAGTTTCATTGGTGGCTTGTTGAGAGTAGTATTTTTATTGTTCTCCAACAAGCATAGTTGAATTATCAAGCAAATTTTCATTTTCGTTCAATTCCATATAATATTTTTTTTCCATTTATATTGAATTGGCAGGTTTTGTTATAATTCCATGATAACGAAAGTTACTTTTCCTGTTAGAAGGATGTAACTTCAACTTATTCACGTGGCCAGATCGTGGCTTGGCATTCTGTTCTCAGGGTTGTACTTAATGTTTCGAAATCATGACTAGCGGGGTAAGATCGGCAACATAAAGCCACATTAGAAGCAAAGGATAAAAATCAAACAGGATAAATGAAAACATGTTTGCATTTGTTATTCATGTATATATGTCTTTGATCTTGCATTTCATTGTAATAATATTAAATGGGTGTTGGATTTGTATTTCTTTGTTTTAATAGTGAATTCCAACTTATACATTGTTAATAACATAATTTTATATACGTGCCTATCTTGCTCCATTACTGTTGCCCCTATACCAGGGGCAACTTTAATAAAAATAATTAAAATAATTACAACTTTACAAAAAAAAAGAAGTTGCCGATCTTGCCCCTATACCCGGGGCAACTTCGTCAATTTCTCTCTTCTTGTAAAGTTGTAATTATTTTAATTATTTTTATGTCCAAACTGATTTTAACCAGATGTATAGTAAGGTAACATTTCAATAGACAGTATGCAAACGGTTTTTTTCAGTTTACAGCAGTATTTATTACACAAAATTTAAGTAAAGCTTAACATGCCGATCTTGCCCCGATCTCCCCTATATATTATACTAATTGTTTTTCTATTCAGAAATTCAGAAACACGTTAACGATACTTTCATTAAAACTATAATATTTCCCAGAAACTTAATACTTGATTAAGGCCAAATAGTTTGAAAATATGTAAGATTATTGAAGCCCACTCCAATGGATAATCCATAGACTTTAATCATTCATAATTCTAGAATTCAAGAAGAATTCAGATTCCAAATAGGAAAATTGAATTTTAGATTTTTCTACTAGAAATCAACTCGAACCATTTTGTTCAAGTTGATTTCTGGCAGATCATTCTATAAGAATGAAACTGCTCCCTTTGGTCCATTAAAGGGAATCAGAGGATGTTTCAACCCTTAAGGCAAATAAGTTGGACAATTTCTCTTTGATCCCCCAAGGATAGTAAAATTTATCAAATTTCTATCGCAACTCTTAAGTAGAGTCAACTTAATAGACCCTTTATATTCCGCTTACAATGAGCTAAGTTAATTCCGCGGGACCATCCTAAAAGATCAGATTAGAGAGTGAAATTATACTTGACTCTTTAGAAATCGGTTAAAGAAAATCTGAATATTAAATATTGAAAATATCTATTAAAAGGTTATTAAATTTTGATAAGGTCTATCAAATTTGATAAAATTTTTCTCGAAACTTATTATAATACTGAAGAATCTTTAAGAAGAAACTAGATTTTTTTTTTTTTGGTTTATTTCGACTCCAAAGAGAAAATCAAGAGATCGTGATAGGCTTTTTACGCTGCTTTTAACTGAAGTTAAATTTTGAATTTTAAAGAAATTTCAAGAGTGAATTTTGTCCAAGAAAGAAATTCTAAAAATAGATTTGAGAGAATTTCAATAGGACGCATTGCTAAAATGCCAAAGTTTGATATTTTGAAAGAGGAAAAATAAATAAATAATAACAATAAAAAAGAAAATAAAGTCAAAATTCGATTATATTGTTTTCCTAAGATGAATTTCAAATTATAAAACTTGATTACTCCTATTTTTAATAAGTAATTTACTGAAGTTCTTAATAAGGAAGAGAACATTATATACAGTACAGTACTGCACTATACCCATAGGCCTATATAAACATTATGTTACTGGTATTCTATATAGTCCTATATAATTCAGATACAAACGCAAATTACAAAAAGTACTGCATATTTATGTTTTGATGATGTTAAAACAAGAATTATTTTACATATAATATGAGAAAGCATAACGTAGAACAGTAAATTTCTTGATGAATGAACTACTGTAATTTAAATGAATTTTAAACGTATATATTATACTTTGTATAAATTTAACAAGAGTACAATAGGGTTTAAAAAGAAATGATGATGATGATGATTCTTATCTTCATAAAAATGATGTGATTTTAGAAAGATCTACACTGTCATAAGTTTATAAAGGAAAATATTTCGAATTTTTTCGGATTTCTTATATTTTAGTCATGCTAATCGTTTGTATGCCGATTTGACAGTCTTTTTCAATTTTACTATTCGTGTTCGTATCTTTTTATATCGAAGTCTTTTATGGATAATAGTATAGATAGACCATGACCGATATCCAATTCCTCAACATCACCATTAACTGTCGTAAGACTAAACCAATTCATTCTGATGAGATTGTCCATCGAAGCAAGATTATTTTTCTTTGACAACTACGAGGAGCTTCTTAAGTAGGAATCAGCTTTCAATTTTTCATTCTTTATAACGATTTGCTTATTTATATACTCATGGACATGACATAGATTTGTCGACTTATATCGTTTTTATATCCATTGAATTATTGCCGGAGGGATGCATTTTGCAGTAAGAATAATATCATTGAGAAATCTGGATGCACCTGTCACTATGAGTATAATATTCTTTCTAATGTTGTATATCACTCTGTTCGACAAAAGAAAGCCATCTTGTTCCATTATTCAGTAGAAACAGCAGTACAATCCGTAATTTGGCTCGACAGTAGCACCAATTTAAATTTAGATAATCGAAATCGTGTTTTCGTATACTTCACTCTCGTAAATTTCGGAATTTCTTACATTGTCACTGTTGTTCTTACTCGAATATAATATATCGATTTTTCTGAATTAAAATTTCATTTTAGATTCATAATATATTATATAATTTATTATTAAAAAATACATATACATTTAAATTTATATAGATTATAATACAATAATTAAGATTAGTATATATAAATAAGTACTTTAAATTAATTAATTATTCACCTATGATATTAATTCATTTACTTAACCTTAATTAAAGAGTTTCTGTTTCTTTCGTTAATTAATTAATTCTTATTTTTTTATCAATAGATTTATCTATATTTGTACTAAAATCATTACGTGATTTATCTTCAGACACATAACTGAGAAAACGGTCGAACTTTGGTATTTGTGCTTGTTCACATGACGTAATAAATTACGTAATCATTTTTCACTCGACATAGAAAATGGTTACGTAGTTTTATACGTCACGTCTTCTACCGCGTCATAAATGCACTTAGGTGCATTTATCACCCGACAGAAATACCATTACTATTCTTATTTTACTTTTTTTTAAAAATATTGTCGATGTACATCAAATTTTAAAAAGACACTATAAAATTTCTTTGTTTATTTATGCGCAATATAAGTCGACGTGTATCAATTGTCACCGCATGTAACTAATTCCCCCTTTGGAAATAATGTTAAAATCAACAAATCATTTCTTACAGTATATTCTTGTTGAAACACAGGCTTCAGTACTAGAAAGGCTGCATCAGAAAAGACTCAATGGAGTAAGAATAAAGCTACCAGAAAATATATTTCACTTAGGCTTTCTGTAAAGAAATATATTTTGTGTTCTTTTAAATTTGGTTAACATTATTTTATTATTATTATTTAAATTATAAAATGCAAAGAATGCTAAATGAAAATTCATTTGAAATATATCCTAATTGATAAGTTTCTCAAATTCAATTTGAGAAACTTATCAATTAGGACCTATTTCTGACCAAGGATTTCAATATAATTTTTTAAATTTTGTTTTGCTTTTTATTTAAAATTATTCATATTTTGTATTTCATTAATTACTAAATTTTCGATTAATGAAAATATCTGATTATTAAGAGCAGTCAGTTACAGCAAAAGGTATTCTTAACTGTAAAATGGTTTTTATCATCATAAAAAATTCCTTTCTAGAAATGTTTGAGACTTCAAATTCACAGCAAACCAAGAATTACAAAAGTAGCGTATTTCCAAAATATCTGGCCTTTATAATTTTTATTTATTGGCCTTTTGGCCGAAATATAATTTGTATGCGCTGTCTCCAAAGATGTAATTGATCTATGGTCAATAACATCTGAGCAGCACACAATTTTTTGCAGACGTGGTACACTCCTACAGATGATTCATGTAGTTTATTCAAAATGGTATGACGTGGCATCAAACAGCATCGTGGCATCGGGAGATATTGATCATGACACTTGTATCAAGATACAAAAATTGTTAGGAAGAAAAAAATGTATTGTTTTTTTAGTGTCAAATATTTGTCTTGGAAAGTTACAGAAAATGGAAAACAAATGTTATGTTTATGATTGATGACTTATATTTTGTTTTAATAATTAATTATTTTTAAATGTTTATTAACTTAATAAGTTTATGGATTCCTTTTGATGTATTTTCTTTTGCTTAGGGACCACTTATAGCTGCAGCATTCACTAACGGGTATCATTGAATTCAAGAGATTGTCAAAGTGAGTCAATATTATTATTATTTTATTGAATGGTTAAGTTTGATGATAAACTTTGATAATTGAATCTTTACTTATCAGGTCTCTCACAAGATGGCGCCACAGGCAACATGTCTCTTGTGACCGAAGCACGTCACGCCAACCGAATTGTCGCCAAAAAAAAAATAACAAAAAAAAATATCCCTCTACCCATCTGGATCCTCTTCCTCGTCTTGTTTCGTTTTTTCTACCTTCTCATGTGACTGTGAGGATCGCACTTCGAAAGAACGAAGTATGCGCGTATCCCCAAACCATGATACCGGGCCCCCGAAAATCTGTGCAATTGGTTCCTAAGTCTCGTCAGAACCGGTGACGTCGCGGAAGTATCCAGCTGTGCTCCTGCACACTCTTCCACTATCACAACACCCGCACATCTTCCCATTCGTGCTTGTAATATATCCGTGTTGTACTCAAATAGAAAACACTAGAAATAGGGCTTAGTTAGCGGCCAAGTCTGTTCCAACCTTAAGACCCAAAAGACCCGAAAACCCGGCCAATCCTGTACATAGTATCCATTACCCGCTTCTTTGGCCGGGTACCCCACGCGTCGTCCCCTCGTCTCTGCGAAAAGCCACATCGAAAAGCAATATTTACACCTATCATAAGGATATATATATACATATAAATATATATATATATTCATACAATCAGTATATATATGTGTATATATACTGTATATGTAAAAATCAGAGGCCTTCCAACTGACGGAGCCTATTACTCATTGTCATTCTGCAATTATGCACGTTCATCAGACGCGCCCGACCACACTCGCACCCCTATAAGGCCTATAGAGGACCTTAAAGGCACCAATCAAAGTGCGACTAATTGTCGGGCCGTGAAACTTTGCAATCTAATTCTTTACGTGTATCTTCGTGTCAATTTGTCTCGCGGGTAAAAAGTCTTCTCCGTGTCGTGTCACGTTTTAGGGGTATAGATATCAGCCTCTACTTCTTCCCAATCCTAATCCATCCCCAAAAGAGTAGCACAGCTTTTAAGTTTAGCATGTACAGAGAAATTAATAATTAAATAATAATAATGAATAATAATAATGATAATAATAATAATAATAATAACGATTTAAGTGGCCTCAGACGGGCACACACCTCTATCCCACTCCCCCTTGAGACACAGTGGTTCCTTTCCTCGCGCTGGCCACTGATTGGTCGGCGGTAAGCCCCCGTCGATCGTCATTGGTTCATTCTATAATCCTAGGTCTTCCATTGGTTCTCCCGTTAGATTGGCCTATTGGCTGGGAGGCTCCCATTCGGTCAGTGGGGGGGATAATATGCAAATGGCCTGTGTGGGAGGGGATGGAGGTGAATTTTGCCCAAAAATCGAATATTTATAATTTATTTTAACGGCCGACTCGAGGGTTGGTTTTTCTGTTGTGCACCGTACTTGATATCCATATCAGGTATATGAAAGTGAAAAATATATATATATATGTATATATTTAACCACATATATACATATAAATATAAGAATATATATTAAAACAATACAGTAGGTTTAGTTTGCGTGTAAAACGCAGCTCACACCGTGTATAGTTATTGATTTTACGTTTTTTTTAAAAAAAGATGCGTTTGTATAAAGAAAAATCATACTGCCTAACCAAAGAAATATTGTTTTAGTAATTTCTGCTTTTCATGGACAAAAACGTTACGAACCCCTTACCTCATGAATCCATTTATCTTCCAAATTAGGAAGAAGTACCAACGATGGTTTTAGAAGTGATAATTGTAGTAACTCTTTTATCGTGGTTTCAATTGGAACTGTAGTATGCAGATTTTTTCGAAAGACAAGAAAGTGAAAACAATAAAATAAACAACAAGACAACGATTTTCTGATTTTCCTTTCCCCACGAATTTTATCGCGAAAAAAAATTTGGTGCTGCAAGTTTCCATGATAAACACTCGAATCATCCCACACTATCACTTGTCTTCTCTCTTTATCTATCTCCTTCACTCTTTTCTCATTGTTTTCTTTTTTTCATTTTCTCTTTTATCTGTTACTGTTGCGTTGTTAGCACAAATTCCTTATGTGAAGAGAGTAGTGAATATGATGATGATAAAAACTGCTTATTCTGTAATCTGTCTCCATGCACTTTTACCATATGTCATCGCGATATCTCAATAAAAAGATTCTGTACCCTGGGTTAGTTTTGTTTCATTATTTTTAATTTCACATTCACGTTCCGATTTTTCTACACTTACCACCTTTTTTTTTTATTTATGATGATAACATTCGGTTTATAATTAAAACCAATGTTTACGTTTTAAAACATTTGATAATGTTCGTAAAAAGTATTCTACGTTATAAATTTTCTTTACAAAAAAAAATATATATATATATTTTTCGATTATCTTAGGCCCGTGTATTATTCAAAATTCAATAACACAACTCAGTTGTTTATTTTTCAAAATAATTTTATTTGTGCTACAAAATTATTTGGAAATTCAAATTCTAAAGAAAAGTTACAATCCGAAATAAACTGGATAGTTTGATTCCTGAAAATTGGAAGTTGTTAATTTTTTAAAAACTTGTTAACAAAGTACCCTACTTATTATACAGATAACGATATATTTAACCCACGTGGCTATCGTTTGTTTTTATACAAAACGGCATGCGAAAGAAAAAATTATTTAATGACTTTAGTATTTTACACTTAATTTTAATTGGCATTTTAAAAATGCCAAAAAAAGTTTCGATTATAATGTACTACGGTACTTAGTAGTTTTTTAAGGATCCTTATTTTCTCATTTATAGAGGCTGGCTTTCCTGTAGTTTAATTTCTTGCAAAGTGCAAACAACTGCATAAAAGAGTGTTTCGGGAGGAAAAAAAGCCTATATCAAAGGCTATCTCATTCTAAAACGGGTTATTCATTCTCAAAAAGATCCTCCTCGAGAGAGAGATCTCATTTCCTAAACAACCCTTTATCCCACAAAAATTCTACTTCTGGCGAAATGACCTCTTTTTAAGATTGCCGGAGAACAATCCCTAAGAGGACACATCCATCTTATAATTTTTTTTCCCCGAGACTACTTTTGATAAACTGAATATCTCGCACGCAAACTTTACTCCCATTAAATTAAATTAAATATTTTCACGAGTATAATGGAATAAAGTAAGAAAGTTTTAAAGAGAATTTTATTAAGTTTCTCAATAATCACCTTTCCGCTGGAAAGTATCCACTTAGCCAGGAACAGAAATGATAGAATGACACGGTGATTAATTAGCACAACTTTGAGAACCTTAATTAGATTACTATTGAAAGCTCCTTAATTGTAGACAATGACTGCAGCTAATTGTGTTATGCTTGGACTTCTCGACGACAATCGTCGAAACTTTAGACGTGATGAATGTACGAATCCCTAATTTACTTCCTGCTTTATAATTATAATTTTTACTCTGCTTGATTTATATTAAAGGAAAATTAACCTCCGTCTATNTCACAATCTTCATTTCTTTGATTCTTTAGTGATATTGGATGATTTGTGTCTTTTATCCTCTTTCTGTAATCTCCCTCTTTTTTCTTTGAATTTTGTTTTCTCATGTAAAATCTTCCATCTCTTCTGAGCTTGCTTTCCTATGCGTACTCTCACAATGTCATGTTCTCTACAAGAATTCCTGCTTGAGATACAGAATAACTTCATTGTAAAATTACACCATGAAAAAAAGCAGCAATACATTTTAATCTTCTAACATTTTTGACAGTTTTTATTGGCCTTTAAGTGTGGTTGTTTAGTATAAATGCAGTTGTTTATTTTACAATGAAGTTACTTTCTTTGATATGTATTCAAAAGAAAGTAACTTCCTTTGTCCTTGCTATCATTTCCATTAATCACTCTCTTTCTAAAGATACCTTTGATTTCCTTGTCCCAAATTATACCACAAGTTTTATTTCATGTATCCATACCCTCCATCCATGGCCCAGAGCATACATACCCAATAAAGTTGCCATTATAACTTAGTCCTTCTCTTTTGCTCAGAAACACGAATGAAGACTTGACAATCAACAGATCATAGATAACAAAGACTTGTTTTCTTTCTGAATCAAAGTTAGTATGGAACTGTTTCTCTAATTGGTAATAGAGTTTCTTATAATGGGGTCCTCATTTAATGAGTATTCATTATCTGAGTCTTCATAGTTACATGGCCAAAATATTATGGAACATCACTTATAAATCCCCTGATTTTACAAGATTTCCCCAGTGGATGGCAACTTCTTGCACCACATGACCTATATGCACATTGCTACATGTCACAATACACAGGATGCATTATTGCATATGTGTATATTGCTTTGGTTTCAACTCTGGCAGATTTTCTCTTTTGTTTTCTGATTTCATATTGAAATTATGTCAATAAAGTGATTCAAAAATGATTATGGAGTTTCAAAAAGGAAAAGTGTTTCTAGATGTTAAAATAGACATAATTAACCGAAAGAAAAAGGATAATGTGTAATTGATATTTCTTGTGCACTTAACATTCCTAAGACCATACTTCATACAATTATTAAGAAAGTCTTGGATTTAGAAGTCAAAGCTAATTCTAGGCTATGACATTCTGAAATGAAACTAACATGACCAAGGAATGATGCAATAGAGATAATGGAAAAGTATCTAGCAACATGGATATAAGCTTATCCTTAATTTAGGAAAAAGCTTTATCTTAGTATGAAGATATTCAAAAGGAGATGGGAGTAAAAGCTAAGAATTTTTCAGCATCAAAGGGCTGATTTCATTTTCAAAAATGTTATGGCTTTAAGAATATTAAAATTAAGGGAGAAATTGCTAGTTCTGAAACAGAAGCAACTGGAGTTTTTCCATCTGAATTGAGAAGATAGTTTATAAGAAAGGATACAGTCCAAAAACATGTTCAATGCTGATGAAACCTGACTATATTAGAAAGATATGCTATCTCAAACATATATCTCTATAAAAGAACAATTTTCTCTTGGTTTCAAACCAAGAGAAAATTGTTCTTTTATAGATCAAACCACACTGCTTCTCAGTGGAAATGCAAACAGGGACAAAATGCTTAAGCACTTGCTAATTTTTCACAGTGGAAAGTCTTGAGCTTTGAAAAATGTGGCAAAATCTTTGCTCCCAGTAATTTGGAGGTGGCATTGGAAAGAATGAATGACTAGAGAACTATTCTGTGATTGATTTGTAGATTATTTTGTATCTACACAAAGAAAATATTATGAAGAAGAAAATCGTGCATTTAAAATACTTTCAGACAATGCCTATTCAGATCAATTGCAATTCCTGATAATTATCAAGAAAAGAATATACATAGTTAAGAATTTTTGTAAGCTTATGAAATTTTTGATATGTATACCTTTATTTTCCAAACAATAGGAACTGCTCTATTTTACAATATTGTCATATCTAAAAATTTCAGCTTCAAAACTTATGTTTAAAAGTACAATATCATATTAATAAAATCAAAACTTGTGTTTTATTATAGCAAAGTTTATAAATTTTATTTTATCTTCTTATTTTGAACAAACTAAATTTTCAAATTATGATAATTTAAAATAAAAATGGCTTGCACCAAAGATTAACTTTGGCACAAGCCATTCAACAAATTTGAGCAGTTAAACTTTTATGAAAATAATAAATAAGAGATCAACAAAATACTTTAATCTGCAAGGCAGAAATTGTGTTTCTTTTATACATTGAAAAATTAATTTTCTAATTTAGATATTTATAGGAAATATTACAATTTTTGGGAATATAACATGCAATTCTGTAATTCACAACAGAATAATTTGTATTCTTTCTCCTGCAAAGATGCAGTGCATAGGAATTGGGATGCATTGCTTACATAATATCATTTTTAATGAACAAATTAGATACAAACACACAATATAACACTTGTATACATACACACACACAGTTAACAAAATCAATTGAAAACATTATGCGCCATCCATTCAGGAATGTTAATTTCTCAGTTATGTGTAAAATTCTTTTGTGCTTTTGTTGTAAAGAACAACACAAGCTAAACAATTTCAGACTGAATAATTTAAACAAATTGTCCTTGGAAATAACTTATAAAAGTTACCATTTTCTTACTTCAAAATGAAGAAATTTTGGAAATAGATTTAATTTTTTAAAAAATTATTAATGAAAATAATTTGTACTCTATAAAATTTATAAATATATCAAATGAAACAAAACAGTTTTCTATACTAAGAAAATTATATATATAATATATATATATATCATTACTTCTTAACATTTTTTTGTCTACAATGTTTTAAATAATTACAATTCTAATTATATATGAAAATAATCTGTTTTACATGTCCAAAAACTTAGCATTAGTGAGAATTACCTACATACCAGTGCAAATTAATTAAAAATACATTGTGGGCAGTTAATGTAAAAATTGTGCAAAAAATGGCAAAAAATGCAAAACAATGCACTGATTTTGATGGATACAGTTATCTCACATTCTTAGGTTAACCTAATTACAGAATGAATTTTATCTGTGTACAAAGAACATTGGCAAGGCTTTAGCCTTATGAAGAAAGACAAATGCAGGGAATCTTCTAATGCTTACTGCCAGTATCATTTTTATTCTTGAGTACATGACATTAAGCATAGGTATGCTGTGGTTGATGGTGACTGTAAAGAAACAATTAAATTATTAATTTCAAACTTATTACATTAAAAATTTCATAAAAAGTAACAAAAAATATTATATTTAATATAATTTAAATTATAAAATGCAAAGAATGCTAAATGANTGAATAAATTTTAATTAATTATATTTAAAAATGAATATTTTACATTTATTATTACTTTCTAACTCCAAAATTTTATACTGAATAATGAAAATAAAGTGTTGGAGTCATTAAATAACATGTCAATTAATTTAATGAGGGCACTTATAATTTGAGATTTAAATTAAATTACAGTCACTTTAATTTCACTATACTCAAGATTTGTTAAGAAATAACACTATTTCAAATATTACAATCTGAATTTTTTCCTCTTAGTCATAAGAAGATTTAAAATTGTATGAATTAATTATTAAAAGAAATGCTAGACAAAAGATTTTTTAGAATGTTATATTCATATAAGCAATATGTCCTAGGCATAGTTAGGACATACACATGCAGTCACAAATCAAACATTTGTTGATAACAGCAAATAACTACAAGTATGTACACTGGAATATCCACTTACATTCTTGTGTACAGAATCACTGTACACATACAGTGAAGTTAAAAAGAAAAAACTTAAGGACAACATATTTTCATAAACTTAGAGTCGAGATTGTTTTTGACAACGGGCGATTTCCTGTAGAACGTATTAATGTACCGAAGAGACGAATCAAACACAGTGAATATAATTTACATTAAATAATCACAATTTTTGTCACGAGATGAATTAGGACCTCGATCTTTTTCAATTGTGGAATATTTATCTTTTCAATAAAGACAATCAAAATAAGTATTTTCTTTTAATGGAAACTAACCATTTCTATATAAATAAGCCAGTAGAAATTTAATTCGGAAATTTGGAATGCCTAAGGCAGTTCCGAGATCAGACTTCTAACTGCAATCTGGTATATGCTTTTTAATTTTGAAATGGCAAATGGTTAGTTTCACAAAGTTTGACACACATACTATTCATTTTGAAGATCATTTTGAAATCAATGATTCTTCAAACAAATTTGAAAGGAGTAGTGTTAAAAATTAAAATATTCTTAATTTAAGATTATTTTTACAAATATTTGTAATATATGCATAAAACTGTATGTTAAATTAATTTTACAATACACTTGAATAATAGATCTAGAATATTTGAACATCACACAAGAATAATATAACTGGCATACATGTTTAAGATTTTCTGGCTATACTTTTGTGGATTAACCTGATGCTTATTAATCAAGTGAATAAAGAATGATTAAGCCTTTCAAGTTGATTACAATTCTTGTCTCTAAAGTTAGTAACTATATGAGCCACACTTTTCTAAAGTAATATGAAGACATCACAGATTTAATTATACCAAAATAAACGGAATGAAGAAAAGTTAATATATATATATATATATGTATGAATATATATACTGTAGATNATATATGTTTTTCTTAATTAAAAAATTTAATTATCAAAAACTAGAGAAGGCTATATTTAGGCATTTTATAGAAAAACAATCCAAAATTACTATTCAGATCAATTGCAATTCCTGATAATTATCAAGAAAAGAATATACATAGTTAAGAATTTTTGTAAGCTTATGAAATTTTTGATATGTATACCTTTATTTTCCAAACAATAGGAACTGCTCTATTTTACAATATTGTCATATCTAAAAATTTCAGCTTCAAAACTTATGTTTAAAAGTACAATATCATATTAATAAAATCAAAACTTGTGTTTTATTATAGCAAAGTTTATAAATTTTATTTTATCTTCTTATTTTGAACAAACTAAATTTTCAAATTATGATAATTTAAAATAAAAATGGCTTGCACCAAAGATTAACTTTGGCACAAGCCATTCAACAAATTTGAGCAGTTAAACTTTTATGAAAATAATAAATAAGAGATCAACAAAATACTTTAATCTGCAAGGCAGAAATTGTGTTTCTTTTATACATTGAAAAATTAATTTTCTAATTTAGATATTTATAGGAAATATTACAATTTTTGGGAATATAACATGCAATTCTGTAATTCACAACAGAATAATTTGTATTCTTTCTCCTGCAAAGATGCAGTGCATAGGAATTGGGATGCATTGCTTACATAATATCATTTTTAATGAACAAATTAGATACAAACACACAATATAACACTTGTATACATACACACACACAGTTAACAAAATCAATTGAAAACATTATGCGCCATCCATTCAGGAATGTTAATTTCTCAGTTATGTGTAAAATTCTTTTGTGCTTTTGTTGTAAAGAACAACACAAGCTAAACAATTTCAGACTGAATAATTTAAACAAATTGTCCTTGGAAATAACTTATAAAAGTTACCATTTTCTTACTTCAAAATGAAGAAATTTTGGAAATAGATTTAATTTTTTAAAAAATTATTAATGAAAATAATTTGTACTCTATAAAATTTATAAATATATCAAATGAAACAAAACAGTTTTCTATACTAAGAAAATTATATATATAATATATATATATATCATTACTTCTTAACATTTTTTTGTCTACAATGTTTTAAATAATTACAATTCTAATTATATATGAAAATAATCTGTTTTACATGTCCAAAAACTTAGCATTAGTGAGAATTACCTACATACCAGTGCAAATTAATTAAAAATACATTGTGGGCAGTTAATGTAAAAATTGTGCAAAAAATGGCAAAAAATGCAAAACAATGCACTGATTTTGATGGATACAGTTATCTCACATTCTTAGGTTAACCTAATTACAGAATGAATTTTATCTGTGTACAAAGAACATTGGCAAGGCTTTAGCCTTATGAAGAAAGACAAATGCAGGGAATCTTCTAATGCTTACTGCCAGTATCATTTTTATTCTTGAGTACATGACATTAAGCATAGGTATGCTGTGGTTGATGGTGACTGTAAAGAAACAATTAAATTATTAATTTCAAACTTATTACATTAAAAATTTCATAAAAAGTAACAAAAAATATTATATTTAATATAATTTAAATTATAAAATTTAACCTGCATCGATCATTAGATTTTCAGTGCTCATTTAAATTCCTTAGATTTTAACTATAATAAGAGATAAAATTATTAGGATTAACTCGAATGAAATAGATGTGAAAAGCAAATAAAAAAAAGGACAGAATGATTTTGTTAAAAATTATCTTTATTCTTTATGTTATTCATAAATTTAAATTTTCAAGGATATATTTCAAAACTTAAAAAATTGTTAGTTGACAATCATCTAAGAGAATAATTATCATCACTCTTGTTTAGAAAGTACACTTAATGTAAATGAATGAATAAAAGGTGTGTATAGTAAGATAATGCCAAAACAAATACAGCAAAAATCAAAAAAGGAAGAAAATGATTATTAGTAATGTGATATAAAATCAAACACCATCTCTTTCTGATGGCCAACATCTTGCATAACTCCATTGAGTAACTCCAATTGAGGACTTTTGTCAAAACATCAACTGAATTTTTCCTACTTAAAACATATCTGATACTAAAACTTCATTCTGTGAATTAAGTAACTCTCACAATCTTCATTTCTTTGATTCTTTAGTGATATTGGATGATTTGTGTCTTTTATCCTCTTTCTGTAATCTCCCTCTTTTTTCTTTGAATTTTGTTTTCTCATGTAAAATCTTCCATCTCTTCTGAGCTTGCTTTCCTATGCGTACTCTCACAATGTCATGTTCTCTACAAGAATTCCTGCTTGAGATACAGAATAACTTCATTGTAAAATTACACCATGAAAAAAAGCAGCAATACATTTTAATCTTCTAACATTTTTGACAGTTTTTATTGGCCTTTAAGTGTGGTTGTTTAGTATAAATGCAGTTGTTTATTTTACAATGAAGTTACTTTCTTTGATATGTATTCAAAAGAAAGTAACTTCCTTTGTCCTTGCTATCATTTCCATTAATCACTCTCTTTCTAAAGATACCTTCGATTTCCTTGTCCCAAATTATACCACAAGTTTTATTTCATGTATCCATACCCTCCATCCATGGCCCAGAGCATACATACCCAATAAAGTTGCCATTATAACTTAGTCCTTCTCTTTTGCTCAGAAACACGAATGAAGACTTGACAATCAACAGATCATAGATAACAAAGACTTGTTTTCTTTCTGAATCAAAGTTAGTATGGAACTGTTTCTCTAATTGGTAATAGAGTTTCTTATAATGGGGTCCTCATTTAATGAGTATTCATTATCTGAGTCTTCATAGTTACATGGCCAAAATATTATGGAACATCACTTATAAATCCCCTGATTTTACAAGATTTCCCCAGTGGATGGCAACTTCTTGCACCACATGACCTATATGCACATTGCTACATGTCACAATACACAGGATGCATTATTGCATATGTGTATATTGCTTTGGTTTCAACTCTGGCAGATTTTCTCTTTTGTTTTCTGATTTCATATTGAAATTATGTCAATAAAGTGATTCAAAAATGATTATGGAGTTTCAAAAAGGAAAAGTGTTTCTAGATGTTAAAATAGACATAATTAACCGAAAGAAAAAGGATAATGTGTAATTGATATTTCTTGTGCACTTAACATTCCTAAGACCATACTTCATACAATTATTAAGAAAGTCTTGGATTTAGAAGTCAAAGCTAATTCTAGGCTATGACATTCTGAAATGAAACTAACATGACCAAGGAATGATGCAATAGAGATAATGGAAAAGTATCTAGCAACATGGATATAAGCTTATCCTTAATTTAGGAAAAAGCTTTATCTTAGTATGAAGATATTCAAAAGGAGATGGGAGTAAAAGCTAAGAATTTTTCAGCATCAAAGGGCTGATTTCATTTTCAAAAATGTTATGGCTTTAAGAATATTAAAATTAAGGGAGAAATTGCTAGTTCTGAAACAGAAGCAACTGGAGTTTTTCCATCTGAATTGAGAAGATAGTTTATAAGAAAGGATACAGTCCAAAAACATGTTCAATGCTGATGAAACCTGACTATATTAGAAAGATATGCTATCTCAAACATATATCTCTATAAAAGAACAATTTTCTCTTGGTTTCAAACCAAGAGAAAATTGTTCTTTTATAGATCAAACCACACTGCTTCTCAGTGGAAATGCAAACAGGGACAAAATGCTTAAGCACTTGCTAATTTTTCACAGTGGAAAGTCTTGAGCTTTGAAAAATGTGGCAAAATCTTTGCTCCCAGTAATTTGGAGGTGGCATTGGAAAGAATGAATGACTAGAGAACTATTCTGTGATTGATTTGTAGATTATTTTGTATCTACACAAAGAAAATATTATGAAGAAGAAAATCGTGCATTTAAAATACTTTCAGACAATGCCTCTGTTCATTATGTTGACTTTGTTAGTTTATGTCCTAATGTAAAAAAAATTTTTTTTTTGCTTTTTTTGCTATGTTTTACAACCAACAGACCAACATATAATCAGTGTTTTCAAGATATATTATTTATGTTGTTTTTTTTAAGAAATTGACTGTTGAAATGGATACACCCAATAAAAACAATGTGCAAAGTTTTTGGAAAGATTTTAATATTTTTCAGTGTGTTAAACTTATTGATCATGCTTGGAACATTTTACATTGTATATCCTAAAGTCATTGATTCATTTGAAAATTTAATTGTTTTTCAGATTTATACAGAAATTATTACTATTGCTAAGGTACAGATTCAATGATATTGAAGAGAATAATGATGAAGAATTACTCAATTCTCATGGTTTGCCATTAACAAATGAGAAGTTGGCAAAGTTAGATAAACCTACAATTGAAGAAACTGAAGACAATGATGAAGACTTGGATAAAATTCCCAATGAAAATGGGCTGTCCATTGACGGTTTATGTGATACATTTGCATAGTGTGATGAAATCATCAAAGATTTTCTTAAAAATGATCCAGTTTATGAATAGGCAGATAAACTTGAGAGTGGGATAAAAGGCTTAGCTTGTTATAAAGCAATATTAAATGAAATACGAATAAAGCAAACAGTCTATCAGTGTTAAAGTTGTATATTTGCAAAGTATTTAATTAAAAATGAGTACTCTTGACATTTCAAAATGTCATTTTCAGGTTGAGTGTATACCATTGGAATTACAATTTTTAAAAAGGTATGTTAAATTATTCCAAATGCATAGTTAAAAGTTGTAATTCGAATAGTATATGCTGAACCTGAAGATGACATTTTGAAACATCAAAAGTACAGTCAAACCTCAGTTTACAAACACAATTCATTCCTAAAAGTTGTTCAAAAAACCAAAACAAATTTTCCCATAAGAAACAATATAAAACAGATTAATCTGTTCTTGACCCCGAAAAGAAAGCTTTTTTTTTTTTTTATTTTAAACCTTTTTAGCTGTATTTCATGTATAAAAAGCCTACAAATGCATATAATATATTATATTATATTAATAAATTTTTGTTATTTAATTTAACTTAAGCATATTTAAATACAAATTCTTGGATGCCATTTATATTATGTGAATGTCAATTAATGTGATTTTTATTATTTTGATTTAGATTCAACTGCAGTGTGTAATGAAAAACATTAGTAATATTTTTCTCACATAAGCATTGAAATCTAATTTAAATAGCAATGCCATCGATGATACATGTTGTGACATGTAATGATGTGAAGCAATCTTGGCACCACTAACTTCTAAATCAGTAGTCCTGTTGGGCTGTTGACTTTCTTTAACATAGGAAGTATAGAGAATTGACAATCTGTGTCTCTCTGATCTGTGGCCAGCTCTTGCTGAGTAGCTTGTTCAGCAACTGGTGCTGAACAAGCTACTCAGCAAATTATGAGTTTGAAATTCTGTTTGTGAACTGAATTGTTCTTGAATGAAAATGATGAAACATGTATATGCAGCTGTTGTTGTTTTTGGTTTTTTATTTGAGTAATTCAAGGTAATAACGCTGGAACAATTAATGCCTTTCATATTTTTCCAACTTGGGTTCATTTAAGATAAACAAACAAACAAACATTTTTGGTTTATCATTAGCTTTTAAAAAATAGTTTTTTTGAAATTCCACAGCTGAAATTCAGCTATGTTATTTTGATATTATTTGAGTAATTTGAGAAAGATTGGCACACTGATTTCCCTTTTATACAATCCTCACACTTAGCTCTACAATTTAGCATTTGAGATCTCTTACACTTCAGATTTTGTCCATATTCATATGCATCACTCTCTTATGCCAGTGATCTAGGAGACAATAATCTTTACGCTGACTTAAATAAAATGGCATTGTCTCAATGAGGAATAACTTTCCAACTTTCTCAACTTTAGTGAATCTTAATATTCATATCAAGAACATGACAATCTTTGTCATCAAGCAGGATGTTTCTGTTGTTCTCAGTGATTTGGAATATTGATAATAACCGTGTTTGACACCCAATGTGTACATAGTATTTTCTGCAGCAAATCTGTCTAAAACTCTCATAATGATTAATAATACTTGCACAATATTGCTATGTTAATGCAATATCTGCAATAGCGATGACTTTCAGATCACTCAATCCTTCTTGTTTAGATCTGGAAAAGAACTCTTCTTAAGAATCATATAGTGCATAGCTCCAAAATCATTGATCTCATTGATCATTGATAGATATCATGGTTTGTTCAAATCAGGGCATTATAGACTTCAGACATATTGAAACTTACTTTCACCCAAAATTTTCCTGAACCTTAGTTTTATTACTGTATGAGTATGTGCTTTTCCCCAAGCACATACTCATACAGTACCCTCTTTCTTCATATCTATTGCAAGTAATATTTATTTTCTTGGATTGTGTTTTATCCTTAAATGACCAACATTCAAAACTCAGCATTGGCATTCTTACATTTGCATAATGTCTTGAAAAATTTTTTAAATGACAAAATGTCTTTTGAATTCAGCCAACAGTCTTCTTTTGACTGTTGCACTCAAACTCTGATTCAGGCAAGTTTCGGATAGCCACAATTAGATTATCTCAGTCCTCAAGCAAACTATAAAAGATAATCAAGTCCAACTTTCTATCATCAATTCTGTCACCAATATTTTCTAGTTACTATATAATTCATTTTTCCCAGATAAAAAGCCTATATTGCAATAAGTTGCCTTCTCAGTTGCAGGATTCTAAACTTATTCTCTCTGGATGCATACAACTTTTCTAGTTCTTCCCTTACTTCTTTGGGAAAATTCAAGTGTTGTACATGCTGTTGCTCATCTCCAATACTAAGATGCATTTCAGACAGTGCTTGCCTGGAAATGAAAAGGTTTAGTTTTTTCTAAGTAAATCTCTTCTGCTTTAACTTCAGACTTCACTGTTGTCCATCAAAAGATGTTTATTTTGATAATGACACACAGAATAATTTGTGCCATTTAATTTAGTAATGACCATTAGATTCATTCAAAATAACTACTGGTATCTTAGATGTGATAGTAGTATCTTAATAAAGATTATGTCTACTTACACTCTCTTAGAGGAAAGGAAAAATTAAACTTAAGCTTCAGTACTGTTCAGTCTCATAATTCCTGTTAGTCAACAATTGTCAAAAAAAGTAACTTGTTATTACCTTCTTTAGAGAAAAAGTGAACCAATTATAAATGATCAAGATTTGTATGGTAATATGACATCAAAATGAATGCAATAACAGTAAAAAAGTAGGAATTACTATGAGTAATGTGATATGAAATCAAACACTGTCTATTTCTGACAGCTAACAAAGATAATTGTAATAATAAAATAAATTCCATAATGCTCATTTTACTTCATAAAACAATAGACTACAGAGGAATGAAGATTTATAGTTAGCATAAGATGAAGAAATTTAGAACAATTGATAAGTTTAAATTGTAACAAGAATTCCTATTTTACAGTGTTAATAATTCATTAGTTTTAAACTGGTACAATACTGATATTTATTGTAAAGTTCTATTTAATAATATTGTTAATAATAATTGCACTCTTTTACTAGTCACTATCTTGTCAAGGTGAGAGAGCTTGTGAAGTCCAATGAACCATAGTGTAATACCAGTGATAGCACAAGCTTCCAGTAAAATCAACCATGCCAGCAAGCTCTACGAGGAAGAATGAAGCAAAGATTGAGACCCAAAGGCAGCATTTTACCTAGAGTGGACACCTGCTAAAAAATGTTTTCAATGATAGGGATGGCTGAGTAATAAAACACATGGCTTAGTTGTAGTATATAAACACATCCACGAAGGAAAAAATAATTATGATATGTTAGATTATTTACTGCTTTTATTAATTCTAAGGTGCATTGCAAAAATAGAAGAACATTCCAAGTTTTTGGAAGAATAAATTTTTATTACACTTAAACAAAAAACTTGTGACAGGGATAAATGTAGATATAGAAATATTACTTATTCCATTTACAATCAAAAATAAAAATACAGATTATAGTATGATCAAATCAGCCTGAAGAAAACAATTGTAAACTATTGAAAGTACTTACAATTTTTGAATAAAATATTGGTTTTAATGACATAAGACAGAATACGTTACATTGTAACATTAACTAGCTCAAGATGCATAAATTATATTTTAAAAAAACATCAAAAATAGACAAAAAATCTTATCAACATTATTTCCTAAGTAAATACTTTCAAAATATTCATGCATTATTAGGTTTTATGCTAGAAGTGATGTACTAAACTAATTTTTTTTTGTTAAAATAATTTTTTGGTCATTTGAAAGAAATTTATGGGCTTTCACAAATTTTTCTATAAAATACAATTAAATCGGTTTGTAAGAAAGTACATAAATAAAAAGAAAATTATATATTTCTCAAAAATGTTTAGAAAAAAATATTTATGAAATTCAAGGACAGCACCAAGACAATCACAAATGTTTCTACAAAGGCTTAGCAGAGATCAATATAACAATGCTACAAACAAACAAACTTATAAAATTTCTCTTTTATTTAGTAGATTACACAATTTTAAAATAATGATTCATTAAGATTATTTAACAAAAAGAACAAATTAATAATACTGTATCATTGGGCTCAATTTGAAAAAATTGTAGCCCAATCATCCTCAATTCATTGGGCATATACATTACTTTCAAGGATGCACCGATTAATCAGTAAGTAATCGGTAATTGGCCATTTTCCTGATTTATCGGTTTTAATAATCGACCAATTTTGCATTTTAATATTTTTGTTAGTATGTCACGTATAAGGCTAGTAATAAAAAATATTAAATTTCTGTTATACATTTATTATTTATTACATGACAATCTAAATATTAAAAAAAATTTTAGCTTAAATTATTTCTTTTATCAATACATATCGTAAAGTATAATATAACCTATTCAAAACTATTTGTTTTATTTAATGTTTAAACTTTAAATATATAATACAAATAAAAATTTAATATTCAAACTTTAAAACCCTTAAACTGTAATACAAAAACATGAGAATTTCACCATTTTCAAAGCTCTTAAATGTTACCTGCAACTTTGAAAATTCTTTCACTTTCAATGGAAGATGTTGGGGGTCTTAGATATTTCATAGCTATTTTGCTCAAATTAGGAAAAACTTCTTTTGAAGTTCTCCACCACAAAAATGGGTCGCTATGTCTTTGTATAAGAGGTAAATGTAAATATTTTTCTAATTCTTGACCGAAACATTTGTTTGTTTAAAATTAATAAATTCTAAATTTTTTTTTTTTTGTTTAAAAAAAACCTTTAAGAACCACAAGTGACATTCACTCTTTAATTCCGACTTCGATAGAGTTTAAAAAAACAGAGAAAACCAGAGAATTATTTTCACTATTTCTTACTCATTTCACTTCACTTCACTATTTCTCACTATTTAAAAAGAAACTGATTAAATTAATTAAAACATATAGAAAAGAATTTACAAGTAATGAATTTAAGAAGATTGTCAATTTTAATAATGTACGTATTCCACAACTTAATATTCGACTTAAAACCCACAAGATTGGACAGATTTTTAGACCTTTAGTAGATTTTAAATATTCAGTATTGTATAATTTAGAATATTATATAAAAAATTATTTGCAGTGTATCCCCGACTCTAAATATACTATAAAAAATGCAGATCAATTGATCTCAAGATTAATGCAAGGTCAAAGTAAAGACACTTATAGATTTTTAAGTCTGGATATAAAATCTATGTATCCTTCAATAAATTGGAATTTTATTATGGAAAGTTTAAGTAAATATGATTTACCTTGTTATATCTTAGAATTTATTCAGTTTACTTTTAAAAATAATTACTTTAAAATATCTACAGAATATTATCGCCAAAGAGACGGGATCGCAATGGGATCAGTAATTGGCCCAAAGCTTGCCGATATTTGTATGGCATCAATAGATGAAAAAATCTTCCAGTACCAAGGTATTGTTTTTTATACTAGATATGTGGATGACATATTAGTTTTGTACGACTCAAATAACGTTACAGCTGAAAATATCAAGGATTATGCAAATAGTTTAAATAAGAACATTAAATTTACTTATGAAGAAGAAAAAAATTATGAAATTAATTATTTAGATGTAATAATCACAAGAAAAAATGAAACATTGCTGTTCCGAAAATACGAAAAAATATGTAATAATAATAAGGTGATTAATTACAAGTCATATTCTTCTATAGGAATAAAAAGAAATGTTTTTTTTGATGGAATTAAAGAAAATATTTAATAGAACAACTTTAAAAAAATATATTGAAATTGAAACTTAAGAATCTTTTTAAAAAATGGATAACATAATAAAGTAAGAAATAGTGAAAATAATTCTCTGGTTTTCTCTGTTTTTTTAAACTCTATCGAAGTCGGAATTAAAGAGTGGATGTCACTTGTGGTTCTTAAAGGTTTTTTTAAACAAAAAAAAAAAAAAATTTTTTAGAATTTATTAATTTTAATATTTGTCTACACCGATCCCATTGTTTTTATTATTTGTTTAATTTGTTTGTTTGTTTTGTTTTTTCTTCCTTTTAAAAACATGCTTTTATTCATTCTTTCGTTCACCAGAAGTTAATTCATCAAATAAATTAGAAAAACTCAGAGATTATCCTCCATCTTGATCGTCTCCAGAAGCAGAAGCTTCAGAATTTAATTCTTGAGATTTTGAATTATCAACATTATCTAAGCCAGGCATGGCCAACATACAGCCTGTCTAATGAATTTATGTAGCCCGCGATTAATCTTTCAATATTAGGTACTCAAGTCCAAATAACTTGATGAAAAATTCTGACACCTGAAAAAAAGGTGAATAACTCACTGTGCGTTTAGAGTTAACCCTCCATTACAAATCTCCTAAGCAGAGCGTAGAGTGTTGATAAAGCATGATAATGTGAAAAATGCATCTGCAATCTCTATCTAAAATTCAGTCTCTACGGGTGACACCACAATGAGATCTTGCACCACCTCAAAATCTTCCTAGAGCAGCCTCTGGTTTGACCCGTGGAAAAAGTTTTCTTTTCAATTCAGCCCAGGGGCAAAAACTGTTGGCCACCCCTGATCTAAGCTATTGATTGTCCATCTTTTTATTTTCTCTATCATTTTTTTTTTTTTAAATTTAATTTTGAATCTTGGCTCTAATAAGGATGGCAACCATAGAGACTTGTTTTCTATATATGCTGAAAATCTTTTTATATTGAATTTTCTAGTTCTTCTATTGTGGTATTAATGCCACTAAAGGAACTACTGCTCTTTACTTTTGATGATAAGAATAATTTCAGAGTCTCTATTGTGTGAATTATTGAAGATGATGTGGTTTCTTGGTTGCTGGTTTCCACAGTAATTTCTTCGAATGGTTTTAAAAGTAGAACAATTTTTTCAACACGAGACCACTGATATGTGCTCAACGTGGCAATTTTTTTTATCTATAGCATATATGCACAAGGGCTTTTTGCTGTTCCAAGTTTCTTTGCAACATATAGTAAGTAGAATTTTAGCGAGTAGGAACATCTTGAATTAATTTGTTTCTGCAAACCTAACTTGTCTCGCAAATCTTCCAATTTGCTTATAGCTACAACAAAATGATTAAAATGTGTGACAATATTTCTATTAACTGTGATTATAGTTTTCACATCTTGTTGAGAAAATGTGCATTTGTTTAGTGTCAGCTGCAGTGTATGTGTAAACCATGATAATACTTCTAAGTTGCAATTCCTGATTCCAGCTACCATATTTGCTCCAAAATCTCTTAGTACTAAGAATATCTTATGACTTTTGTCAATTTATATCATTCAAGAACTATGTTTATCTGTTCATTGATTCGTGTAGCTGTGTGGGAACCTTCAAAGGGAACAATTTGCAAGACAGCTCTTGCTGAAAAATCATCCTTCAACCAGTGAGGCTGTTACATTTAAAAAAGGAAAATTATTTGTAGTTGCTATCTAAATATCAGTGGTTAAAGAAATACTGTATATTTTGAATCATCAATAGCTTTCTGAATTTTTGACTGAGCTTTTTGAAATATATCACGGATGTTATTTTCAGATATATATTTTCTGCTGGGAATATTGTAATTAGGAACGAGTTTTTTTTAGTAATCTTTGAAATCCTAAATCTGATACAACAAAGTATGGCAGTATATCTACGCTTATCATTTAACCAATCAAATAATGAACTTCAAAGTTTTGGATTGTTGATATTCCACAATTTTTTCTTCTCTATTAATTGAGTTAAAGTAGCTTGTCTTTGGATATGTGTTTCCGTTCTTACTGATGAACATCCAGCTTCTTTCGTTTTGGAACTTTCTCTTTTCATCTTTTAAGTTTATTTTAAANATTGTAATGAAAAGGATAAACTTCAAAGGCTCCAGATTGGGCCACTGGCTAAATGTACTAGTGAGTTGGAAATGTATAAGACATTTGATAGAGCTAATGTAAACACGATTTATATGTTATATAACTACGTTAAACATTTATTAAGAATATATAATTTCACGCGATAATAATCATAATATAATTAACTATTAACACAATAAATTATTAACACTAATTGGCCGATTAATCGGTATCGGCCATTTTGCATCCTTAATTACTTTCTTTTCGTGAACTTATCTTAGTTAACTAAAACAATCCATTTCAGCTCTTCTATGTTAAAAACAGGATATACAATCAAAAAATTTGAATTCCTCAATTTTTGAAGTATTATGATCTATGTTTCCTATGTGTAAGAAATGTTTCAAGGTATTCTATCCCTTACTTAGGCTTATTTATTAAAGTTAGTGACATTGCTGAGGACATATCTAGCAGTGACATGTGGTGACATTTAATGATAGGGAAGCTGTGCCAGCCCTGGATAGAATTATTGGAAGCATTATATGATATTTTGGCATGTAGCATCCATGAGCTAAACCACGAGGTTGGTGCTCTGTAAAGTGCATGTGTGAATGCATATAATCTGGCTGCTTTACACAATTCAAATATTTTTGCCATGGAAGCTGTCCCGTATTTGACAATACAGCACTCCCACTGGGAATATGCATATACGAATTTATATTCGAATATACAATAGCAATCTTATCATTGTTTTTCACATGTATAGGAATTTATAATAAGATACACAATGCGGTTATAATAAAATATTGATTTTAATTAATTCAAAGTACATTAAAATATGAAAATAATTGCACAATATGTACAGTAATACCCCGAACTTACGCGATAGGTAGGACCGAGTGATAACTGCATAAGTCGAATTCGTGTAAGTCGGGATTAATTTCCCAATTTGTGTAAAATCCAAGTTGGATGTATGTAAGCTAATAAATGTTCTCGTTAATCTTATCTCGTCTTTTGATTCGTTCATGGTTACAAGAAATCACCACAAAGAGTCTCTTGAGTCTCCGTAGATATAACAAACACAGAAATAAATAACACAAAATAAATTGTAGCTATGTGTCAATTCTGCGCAACACGTCTGAACATGTAAGCCGAACAATAGTGTGGGGGAGGTGAGTAATCAAGAGTTGCGTGGCGTTCAAACAAAAGACGAATCGACGAGATTTGAAAATCGCGTAACTCCGGGTAGCGTAAGTCGAGGTATTACTGTATTTATATTTTAGAAAATACAAGTGAAGCGGTGCTTCCACAGCTTCCCTTGTATTCCATGGCACGCCACTGATAAATAGGAACTTAATGAGGAGAAAGCTTTTAAAATAAGGTCTGAGTTTTAAATTTGTTTCTTTGCTTGCAGAATTATATAGAGAATCAAATGTGGCTGTTTTTGCTCTAGGCCTTTTTCACAGCTGCAGGTGTTAGACAGGGTTGTGTTTTGAGTCCTGTTTTGTTTAGTTTGTATTTAAATCACTTAATTGAATGGATAAATAATTCTGATTATGAAGATATAGATGTGAACAGTACTAATGTTAAAATATTGGCATATGCAGAAGATATTGTTTTGATTGTTGATTCTGTTAGAGGTTTACAGGGATTTATTAATATTTTAGGTAAGTATTTATTAGAAAATAATATGAGTTTGAATCTTTTAAAATCTAAAGTCATTGTTTTTTGTAATGGAGGTAAACTTTCTAAGTATGATAAATGGTGGTTTAGAAATGATATAATACAAGTAATTTTGCAATATACATATCTGGGTGTAATATTTAAGCATAATGGAAAATATAAATCCCACATTCAGATTTTAAAAGGAATGCTTTTATTAAAACTGACAGAATTATTAGATGGGTAGATCAGATAAATAATGTAATATGAGTGATTGCCTGAGGATTTTTAATTCAGTTGTTACTTCATACTTGTTATATGCTTCTGAGGTATGGGGTTATCAATCTGATGATTTAGATCTAGTATTGGCTATTTTTATTAAAAAATTATTTGGTTTATCTCAGTATACTCCAAGATATTTAATTTTATGGAATGTTCATTATTGCCTTTTTCCTTTGTAGTTTTAAATAAGTGTTTGAATTGGATTTTCGGAACAATGGAATTGGATGAAAACATTGGAGTAGAAGGTGTTTATGCTATATTCTAAATAAGAATGATTTTTTGTGAAAATGTTTAAGGAATAACTGTGTTAATAATAGTATTAAATTAATTCNTAAATAAGAGCTATAAGCATAAAATGAATATATGATCATCAAATAATTATTAAAATTATAATTATTAATTTACTTAAGAAAAGGCACATAACGTCTACCTCTAGTAGCAAATTACTTAGTATTTATTAATCATTAAATTAGTGAAGTTATAACCTGATTATTTAAGGCGTTCATTTGGTTATGTTTCTAGATCATCAAATTTCTGTACTATCTTAGCCTGATGACCAAGATGGTCAGAAATCAGCCTAATACTTTGGAGGACCCAAGACTGAGTTTGGATGAGCAACCTCAAAAATTTTTTGGGAGGCTGCCTGGATGTGTTGGGCCAAATTCCACGATGAATATAATTAGAAAACCCTTGTAATGCCCATAGAGTAGAAATAAAAAAATCATCTTCAAAAATATATAATTCTTAAATAAAAGACATCAGAAATAATGATTAATTAAACTTCATATTTTTGCAAAGGACTTCATATCTTACTTAAAACAAGACATTTCAATAAACATTAAAATTAGCATAAGTTTTATGCCATTTTTTGGAACATTTTATGTGAAACATTTTTTCCCCTACATAAAGAAGGAAAAAGACACCATCTAAAAAAATTATCCAAGTTCTTGAAAAAATTATAGCAATCATAAAAATAATTAAAGAAAAAATCAACGAATTTTCTAAAATACTTGAAAGCATTTTTATATAGTAATTTTTAACCTTTTAGACTTTTAAAAACTTATTTGAAAAGAGCAGGTTAAATTCTACATTATTTTATAATCATTATTTTAATCTTACTTTAGCACCAACAGTGAACCCAAAATCCTAAGACTGCTGCTGCTGTTGCTGTTGTTGTTGTTGCTGCTGCTGCTGCTGTTGTTGAATTCGCCTCTTGAATAAAACAGTTTCTTCAAACACCAATTCTTTAAGTTTGTCTTTAGGAAGATCATCCAATTCCATTTCAAATTTGAAAGGTTCTTCAGCAACAGGCTAAAATAAATTTTTATAATATTAAGAATTAATTCAAAGTATTTTATTTTATAAAAATACACATTGCAATCATTTATAAATGTTTAAAAATTTAAGCATATTTACCTCATCTGCTGGATCATAATATTGCTCTAAATATGGATGTGCTAAAGCTTCTTCAACAGTTATCCTCCGATGAGGATTGAAAGTTAACATCTTATCAAGAAGATCTAGAGCTTTAAATAAAAGAAAATGGAAAATCACAAATCTATATATATAAAAATGAATGTGTGTGTGTGTGTGTGTCCTTCATGCATTACCACACCGTTTATCCGATTGCCATGAAACTTTGAGAAGTTGTTTAATATACTCCTGTGAAGGTTTCTGACATAGTACGATTGCCATGAAGCTTTGGGAAGTTTTTTAATACACTTTCGCGAAGGTTTCTGGCATTTATCCTACGATAGATGATGCGCGTTTACACGAGCATTCGAGCACTGTGTGTTTGATCGATTTCAAATTGTGAAGACCATTTCCCCCCTTCAAAAAATATCTCTATATATGCATTTGTGAACTGTTATTTACGATATTTGTAATAATTTTTGTTTAATCACTTTATTTCAACTTTTTTTTGCTAATTATGCATTCGCTCGAACTTCGTTAAAACCTTAACTGTACCCCGAACAACAACCGAAGTTGTAGGAGGAAATTCGCGTATTTNGATATTTGTAATAATTTTTGTTTAATCACTTTATTTCAACTTTTTTTTGCTAATTATGCATTCGCTCGAACTTCGTTAAAACCTTAACTGTACCCCGAACAACAACCGAAGTTGTAGGAGGAAATTCGGCTATTTTACCGATCTAGGTATCCCCCCATTTTCCAAATTTTAATATTGACTCAAAATAATTTAAAAAGACAAATTACAATAAAACGGTTTATTATCCAACTATCAGAAATTTCACAACATGCCAAGGAAGAGAGGAAGGAGCAATTAAATAATTAAAATTATAAAGTATTAAAAAATATATATATAAAAATGGGGAATATCGCTCTTCTGACAATCGCTGCGAGTGTATGGGCTAAATTTGGAGAATCCATGCTTCTCGCATGGACAACTGTATGTGACCGGCTCACGCGTCGGAAAACCTTCCGATTTATTCGTGTACGCACCAGATGAAAAAACAAAAAATATCGTGTATCTACAAACACTCCAATAAATAAATAGAACTGAAACGACACTTTGAAATGTTTTCCCGATGAAAATGAATAATAATAATGTTTCAATAAAAATGATAAAATGTAAATTGAATTTTATCATAACGAGTTTGCTTGAATTTCCTTTCTTCTGAGATCGCAGCAATGCGTGACGGGTAAGCTAGTTATCCTCATACTATTCTTTTAAAATAAAGATAAATAAAAATAAAACACCTTAAATTTGTTGCTGAGAAATATATATAATTGAAAAAAAACAAACATTTTCAGCCTAATTAACAGGCCATCATCAGGTCAAAAACAAAATAGAATACAAATATTTAAATCAAAATTTAGAACAAAAAATTTTTAAAACTATACAAGAGAAACGGAAGAACATATAAAATTAAAAATATCATAAATCTTCCAATAAACTAATTCTACTCTGTGTTTTTAGTGACCTTTTTAACCATGTACTGCTACGAGAGATGCTGAGAGCCTGCCACCAGCGTGGAAGTACATGGTTAAAAAGTTCACTAAAAACTCAGACTAGAATTAGTTTATTGGAAGATTTATGTTATTTTTTATTTTATTTTGTGTTAATTTTATATGTTCTTCCGTTTCTCTTGTATAGTTTTAAAAATTTTTTGTTCTAAATTTTGATTTAAATATTTGTATTCTATTTTGTTTTTGACCTGATGATGGCCTGTTAATTAGGCTGAAAATGTTTGTTTTTTTCAATTATATATATTTCTCAGCAACAAATTTAAGGTGTTTTATTTCTATGTGTTTATTTGCTGAGAACTTTTAATGTTAAAGAGAAATAAATTATTATTACCATTCCTATCAGCATCAGCATAAATATTTGTCCATGGTACTTTTGGTTTATGAGGAAGAGACTGTAAGTAAGTTCTAGCCTGAAATTAAAAAAAAATACATTTTAACTACAATAAATGAATTCTATTAATAGAGATAAAATAATAACTGAAAATATAAACAACAAACAGCAATTCATTGACATAAAAATTATATATTTTTTACTTTAATTTTAAGATATTAAAAAGAACTGCTTGGATAAACCCAAAATAGTTATCATAAGAAAACAGTTATTACTATACATCATTTTTAAAGTATGAAAAGAATGTTATTTCTAAAATAAAAAAAGTTAGAATATATTAAAACTCAAAAGTTTTTAATCGCTTAGGGTTTATATGAATTATATATGTATAGCCACTTCTCACTGAACAACCACTCAAACTTACAACCACTTCTCCAGTACAAGAAATCTCTTTTTTTTTAATCTTAGTCTAGTTCCACAGTTGGTCAGTATTCTCTAGACCAGAGATTGGCACCTTTGAGCAGTGTTGTGCTGAACCTAAGTTATAGTGTTATAGTGTTATTTTGGGTGCCAATATGATTCTACTAATTTTGTTATATAAATCAATAGTATCAAAATTGGTCTGGTTATAAAGGAATTCAAAAATTAATAATTAAAATTTAATTTTTACTACATTTCTATTCAATCATAGTGCCACTGAAAATTGTTCTGCATGCTACATTTGGCACGCGTGCCATAGGTTGCCGACTCCTGATATAGACAAAGCCTTCACAATCTCCAAGACTACATATTTCATTTATAAATTTGTACTTTATTGTGTATCCCATATGAAGAATTCAATCACTAAAATATAATCTGAATTTATTTTTTAAAAAATAAACTTTAATTTTTTTGGTACATCATTTTTATAATTTTTGTTGATTGGATTTTTATGTTCCATAATATGTAAAGATGCAAATTAAATCAAAGTTAGAGTTTCCTTTAGATCTTTTCCTTATCTAGAATAAATCAACTTGATTAAGCTCCTTGTTTAATGACCAATTGCTTTAACAACCTAGTAAAAAAAATGGAACTCAATTATTAAGAGAAGAGTGGCTTCCATGTATAAAATTAACAAGCAAAAGCTGGATATTATTAAACAAACTGAAGTACACCTGGCTTGGCTTTATATATACTTAATTAATAGTAATTCAGCTTAACATTATTTATTAGAAAAATGCAACAAAATTTTATTTTACACAATAAAGCTTCAATTTAAAATGATATATTACAATACTGAAAAATATTTTATTTAAAAATAAGTATTTTCATTGATAAAATTATGGTTTAGTCCTATGTTAATTATATTATGACCTTGCGATCATGTTGGCACTACTTTTAATACACTTGTTCAGAGATGAAATTTCCTATTTTATACTTCATCTCTACTTCATACTATATGCAATTTTAATGCATACAATATTAAAATAGCTCCAATAATAAAACAAGTTTTTTTATAATGAATTTTATTGAGATAAGAACATCAACATCAAATTAGAGGGGGAAAAAGAATCAAAGCTAATAGAAATTACTTAAGATTTTTAATTAAAAAACAGGAGATTATTTCTTTATCAACAAGCAAAGAAGATACAAAATAAAATTTCATTTTCAATGATTTTATATTTGTGTGTTAATAAAGCTTTAAAACTTTTTTATACAAAAATGATTTACAATATAAGAAATGTAAGATTAAATTCTTCACTTAATTAATAAAAAAAATTCACTTTGGAACCTATTACTTTATTTCCCATATAAATGATAGTCTGAAGTTATTTGAAATCAATCTATCATGTACATTGAAAGTTAAGTGTACTATTTATGCTGGAAGTGCCACAGACAAGGATGTTGATGTTCATGGGCTAATAGTAAAGTAAACTTTCAAAATTCAAAAACTTAAATTATGAACAACAATGAAATTGACTATTGTTTTATCAAAAAATACTATAATTGTTAAAAGAATAGAAAAGACAATGCTTGAGCATTATCAATAGGCATGCTTTACAAAAATATGTTCATTTGGAAATTTTATAGTGAATGTCCTATATGTTTTGTCATACATAGAAAACAGCTGCCATGAAAAACTGTATGATTACATATTTTCAAACTTTGATATTTGAAAAAAAAGACATAATTCAAAATAATGTCTGTTTGAAACTTAAGTTGTTCTAAAAGAATGTTCACTTTAACACTTATTCTACAGAAAGTTTTTTAAAAATCATCTAAGGATTGTTTTGAACATATGATTAAAATTTTTAATAAACAAGCTCTCATATATAATATATTTATACTATCTCCTTCATATGTGTTATCAAAAACAGAACATTAATACAAATTTCAACATTTAAACTTCAGATCTATTAACAATTTGATAGTTCAGTTTTTAGCCATATTTTTTCATTATTTCACTATTATTTAGATTAAAAATCTATTGGTCTGATACATACCATGCACAGTGCCCATAGTGCCATCTAGCAGACAAGTTATATTAAGATACCTTTCCAAAGAGAGTATAATTGTTGCACACAGTTTCCTCTTGAACATATTCCAAATATATGCATTGAACTGATATAATATTGCTCTATCAAACTTGTCATATTATATATATGTTATGTAATAAATAATTGTTGAATTATCTAGTGTCTCCATGCATTATGTTGTTAACCTCATTACTACCTGTCTGAAGGAACATATCAAAAGGCCTATTAACCACCATCCTGTCAACATATGCTGAGGACCTGGATGTGAAAGTCCATTTTGATTGGACAAAAACCCCACAGAGAATAGTGGACAGATCTTCTGTGTCACAACAATTGCGAACTGTTAACCAGCAAGATTGAACCTTCTGAATATTTACCTTCTTCAAATTCAATTCCCATTTTTGGCTGTTTGTTCATAGTTAACAAAACATGGCTATCTGTTGTAAATTGTCATGAAACATCAAGGCAACAACTTGAATCACATCTGTTTAAAGCCTTAGGCACATTGACTGATACATCATTCAGTGAGCTCACATTCATATAACAGTATTTTACCCAGTCACTAATGAATTAATTGAATGTTTTCACTGATAACTTAAAATCACCATCACAAGTGCCATGCTTCTATCTGCTGGACAGATGGCTGACCCATTATTTTTTTGGATATCTAAACTACACACAAAGAGGACTTTGACACTACTGCAGCAGACTTGTCCTACAGCCAGATGGTGCATTTTCTAAGTGAATTTCTTGCAATTTGAATATGCCATCATTGAGGCATCTGACTTCATTAAAGATCTACAATCTTGAATTTGATGGGTGTGCTCCATATTACCTCAGAAGCATGGTATACAATGAGCATTTGTCTTTCATAATCTAGGGATGTTTTACACATTTTTCTACATCAATGCTGTTGTGGAGGTCCCTTGTGATGTCTTATCATGGACCCGATAATTCCTAGCATTGTGACACCCGTAATTAAGGAGGAGGTGTCATTCAAAATGGCAAGGTGTAAACTGTGTATATGGGTGGTAGCATTAGACACAGAGGCATAAACTCCATTTACATTTAACACCTGTTTATTAAAATACAAAAGACATCTTTCATAAGTTAAGAGATCTCCCTTGGTCCTTAAAACTAATCTGACATGATACCAGTGTCCGAATGGGATACAATGTTTGTACAATGATAAAATTTCCAAAGTTCATTGCTCTTTATCAGAGGATCAGAGTTCTAAATGGACTATCCACTGATGGAGAATGCAAAGAACATAGTTTGTTGTCCATATCCAGGATAAAAGTTTCTCAGTCCCAGCTGGAGATCTCTTTGGTCTTGGAGGGATCACTTTCTATCCAGTGGAATCACTTTTGCCAACTTGAGGAGAATCTCTTTATCTTTGGAGAAATCCCTATGGTTAACTTGGTGGGAAAATCTACTGTTCTAGTAATGACAGAAATTGCCTCTGTCCTTGAATTTGGGTCTCTTAAAGTTTTGTATCCCCAATCGAATGTTCTGATTGATCGTGATCGCCATTCTCTACCTTTCTGATTGGTCTTTAGATTGTTGCAAGAGCCAGTCAAGACAGAATTCAGAGATCAGACACCAGCTGAAGATGTTTATTGAATTTGTTGCAAATCTGCCTGTAATTCAGTCAAGTGCTTTTACTCCAGTTGTAAATATTACCAGCTGCACTTGCACGACATTTGGTTTTATTATACATTCTATTTTTCCATTTTCATGATTGTTTGAGAAAATAGTCAAATTCCCGATCTGCTCTCTCACAATATTTTATCTACTAAGAGTATTTTATTTGAAAAAATTTTTCCCTTTAAAACAATTTTAGACTCTGGTGAAGACCTCACACTGTTCATAAACCCAGCAAGTGCTCCAGCAGACCATTCAAGAACAACATTTGTGGTGATGCAATGACAGTTTCTATTAACTGTTGAAAACCTACCTTCCTCACTAATCCAAATGATTTTACTGCACCAAACCCTCCTTCAGCTCAACCTGTAACAAAAGGAAACAACCCATCCATAGAAACATTGCAAACAACCAACTCAGAAACTACCTCTCATCCAAAAATGACAATCCTCTCTGGACAACACATGTTTTAAAACACCATACTGTTCATAACTTGGGGTAAACTGAGGCATACTATGCAGTGCCTCTAATGTCATCTAGCAGTGCAATATATATTATGCTATCTTCTCAAAGAAGGCACAATTGTTGTATATACCTTCCTATCAAATGTATTCCAGGCATATGTTTTAAACTGATATAGTGTCGCTCTACTGAACTCATAGTACTATATATATATGCTGTGTAAATCAGTGGCATGTGGTGACATTTGATGATAGGGATGCTGTGTTTCCATAAAAATTATAAACAAATACTGGAAATGACAAAAATAAATAGCTTTATTTATTTTTGTTATTTTTATTGGAATTGTGCCATTACAAGAAATTCTCAATAATTCAAAATTCAAGGGATGAAATAAATGTAAGTTCGATTAGCAAGGATTTCCTGTATATATTTTTATTTATTTTAATTCTAAAATAAATAAATTGACATGAAACAAAGATATAAGAACTCATTTATGAAAATAATTGCACAATATGTATTTATATTTTAGAAAATACAAGGGAAGTAGCACTTTCACAGCTTCCACGGACTGCATGCCACTGGAGTAAATAAATAATCATTGAATTAACTAGTGTTTCCATACATTGTTTTGTTAACCCTGCAACAATTTTTAAGAAAGAATTTATTTGGTAAATAAATATATTCAAAAATATCTTCAGTAATGAATCTGATTTTAATATATAATACTAAGTTTTACATGACTAAAAATTATCTACGTAACTTTTTAATTATACCAATAAACAATTATAGAATAATAAATTTAACAACAAAGTAAAATAAATTACAATAATAGCACTGAGCTATGATGTTATAGTTCTTTATGCCAAAAATAAATTAAACAGATATAAATAGCTCAAAAATCTGATAATTTCATTTATACATTGAAAATAAAACATTATTCTTACTTTTTCATTAATAATACAATTGAGGTCTTCTTGAGATGGTGAACCTAATATACTTAGTATGTGATTTAATTGATCAAGATCTGAAAAAAATTATTTTATTTTATTATTAATGACATTATTAAACATTTTATTTAGAAACAACTCAAGATTATATAATGAAAATACTCAAATAACTAAGGAAAATTACAAAAATTAATGATATGATATTGTAAAAACTCACTGCCTTGATATTAATCCAGCAGTGATTCAGAAAAACACAAGTGTTTTTGAACCTGCTTCAAGACCTGTGTTTGACACATTCAAACTCTTTGATATTTCAATGTGTCAAACACAGAAGGTCTTACACATAAATTCAAATTTAAAATCCTTTAAAGTTGACCAATAGGATGCATCCAAGTGTAGAAGTTGTAAAATAATTTTCATAATGATGTATCAAAGAGTTGGATGTTCCATCTATTTGAAATTTGTGACCTGAAACAGGTCTAAGAAGCAGACTGAAAACATTTGTTTTTTTCTGAACTTGCATCACTGCTGGGTTAATATCAAGATAGGGAGATTTTACAATATCGTATAGTCCAGTTTCTGCAGTACAGAACATTGTTATATGATATATTTGCCCTAAATCATTTCAATAGAAAATTAACAGACATCATAGAAATAAGAGAGATTAAGCTAGGGGTGGGTAATCCTTGGCATGCTGACTTTTTCCCAGGGTTCATCTTAAAAAGTAAAAATCCAACATCTTCGCTAAATTTATATTTTAATTTAATGAGATAAAATTTTATTGAGTAAAGCAATACTAAATAAAAATTCAATAAAAAACAAACATCCTATTGGATTGCTTGGAAAGTAATTTCGTTTTTTCATGGGAAAAAAATAAAAAGTTTTCTTATAAAATAATCAAGATGGGTTAATAATGATGATGATAATAATAAGTGCAGAGCCCAAATGGTTAGGAGTTGAAAGTTGAAATTTGGTACTCAGTTAGGGTACATCACAAGAATGTACACTAAGAAGGGATTTTTTGAAGTTCCCCCTGCAGGGGAGAGGGAGAGGATTAAGACTTATCCTAAAGAACTCAGCTACTACTGTACTATTTTAGATGCAATTTTTTATTTTTAACTGCATTTTATGCCATGAGAATGCACCCTAAGAAAAAATTTTTGAAAATCCCCTCATGGGAGAAGTAGAGAGTTAAAGATTACCTTGAAGAACTTGGCTTCTATTGTACTATTTTAGATATGGTTTTTTTGCATTTTTGACTACGTTTTAGTAAGGTATGCCATCAGAATACAAATTAAGAAGAAATTTTTGGAAATTCCACCCCCCGAGGGAAGAGGAGAATAGAGTTAGTTTTAGTCAGTATAAAGTGTAAATAATAAAGAAGGAAAGCAAATAGGGCACATATAGTATACATTTTGGAAATTAATAAATATTTTAATCATTTCCACTTTTCAGGTAACTCAAAAACAATATATCTAAAATAAACAAATTCAAATGAACATTTGAATTCATTTTAAATTTGAAAAATTCGAAATATAATGTTCCACACAAGTTTTTTTTAGATTTTAAAATTTAAAATTAATCATTTTATTCAAGTAAGGTTAAAAATTTCTCATAAATTTGATCCTAATCTTATAATATAATTGAGATGGGTTGATGATAACAATAATAATAATAATAATAATAATAAGCACAGAGCCCAAACAGCTAGGAGTTGAAAACTGAAATTTAGTACACAGTTTTGGTGCATGATGAGATTGTAGACAAAGAACAGACTTTCCGAAATTTACCCTGCAGAGGAGAGGGAGAGGATAAAGGATTATCCTGAATTTGGATTTTACTGTACTATTTTAAGTGTGGTTTTTTTGTGGGAAATCAAACATGTTTTTAGATCCATATAAAAACTCTCTAACTAGTCTCAGAAGAGGGTGAACCTAATTCTTGCACTCGGTAAAAGCGGGTAAGATCAGCTATAATTTAATAATCTTAATTTTCACTTTCATTACTTTTTGCCCAAGCAATGCTGGACTCATCTGCTAGTATATAAATATTTTATTGAATTATATATTGACCATTTTGGTCCAATATCTTTTGCCATCTTTTTGGTAGTAGCATGATTCCACATTCATAAAAGTTCTGATCTTTGCTTACAAAAAACTGATTCAAGTGATTTTTGACATCCTCATTTGAAGTAAATGTTTTACTGTTTAAAAAATTTTGTAAAGACCAAAACAAGTAATAATCCAAGAGTGCCAGATCTGGTAAATATGGTGGGTATGGTAGCACATCCTATCCAAGCTGTAACAGCTTCTGATGAGTTACCAAACTTGTGTGAAATTTGACATTATCATAGTAAAACACTACACCTTTTCTGTTTGATGGTATCACTCAATTTGTCCAGTTGACAGCAGTACACTTCCAAATCAATTGTGGAATTGTCTGGTAGAAGCTAAAAAAAAAAAAAACACCACACAGAGAGCATTACTTTTTTTTTATGAATATTGGCTTTCAAAAGTGCTTTGAGACAGCTCATCTTTTTTACTCCATGAGTGCTTGTGTTTGACATTGTTATAAACAATCCATTTTTTGTCATCAGTTATGATTCACTTCAAAAATGGATCATTTTCTTGACGTTTGAGAAGCAAATCATAGATGTCAATGCAACGGAGCAAATCTCTTTCTTTAAGAACATGTGGAACTCATATATCAAGCTTTGAAACTAAATCAAGTCAATTCAAGTGATCATAAATGATTGAATTTAACAAATTTAATAGAGAGGTTGCAGCCGACGTTTTCAGCCCAAAACGTGAATGTTGAACGTCAAGTGCAGCCATCTGGTAATTCTAGAAGGTTGACAATGGCAATTGCTATGGCAAGTAGAAGTTGGCTTAAATTTCTTCATTTTTTTGTGTTTGGGGTTAAAATTATGATGTATTTTATTAAAATAATGATTATTTAAGCATTTATGAATAATATTGTAAAGAAACAGACGATTTTAATCCAGAAATTATTTAATTATTCAATTTTTTTGCAAGTNTGGCTTAAATTTCTTCATTTTTTTGTGTTTGGGGTTAAAATTATGATGTATTTTATTAAAATAATGATTATTTAAGCATTTATGAATAATATTGTAAAGAAACAGACGATTTTAATCCAGAAATTATTTAATTATTCAATTTTTTTGCAAGTGACATGAAGTGCCTATAGAATTTACATATATTTCTATTCATAATTGCTTATCAAAATTCTGTAGAGTACGTTTGTTCTTTCATGGCATCTTCTACCATCAACAGTGTAATATGTTTGTAAATTTTCTAAAAATAATTTTCCAAGCTGCTTTCAGATTTACATAAGCCACTACTTCCCTCAACAAAAGTATGAGGTAGTCCCATCGTCTTATTGTATGGTAGGAGACACTACACTAATTAAAAATAATTATTTAGTGTTATTAAACATCCTATAAATACTTTAAAATAGTTTAATTTGTTTATTTACCTTTGCTAGTAACATTTGTTGTTGTTAAATGCTTCTGCCATTTTTCAACAATATCCCATGAAGTCAGTGTGTGATGTGAACGTGTGGCACAACGCGCGTTCAAACATCAAACGTGTACTTCTGCTTGCTGTACAAGTTTAACGTTTGAACTTCTGCTGCAACCTCTCTAATCTCTTAGTGATTTCTCATGTTGTTATTCGAGAGTTTGCTTCAATCAATACCTTTATTTTGTCTTCATCAGTTTCAACTGGCTTTCCAGTGATGCTGCTTCTGGCATAAAAAATAATTTTAAAAAAATTGTGTATGCTCATTTTAGTGACCTTGAATACTGTCACTTAAACCCATAGCATCTTGAAAATAAAATTTGATCCATCCAATTTTTATTACATTTTAAATTTCATTGCTTGTATTCTATAAAATGACAAAGTTTAATCAAAACTGACCAGTAAAATTTTGAGAACAAACTTAATTCTATAAGCCATGTAGAAGAGGCTTTGCTAACATTCCAGCTCAATAATATATAAATGATTATTTCTGAAAGGGAATAATAATATATAAATGATTATTCCCTTTCAGAAATAACAAACATTTTTTTCTAATAATTAGGATTAAAAAATTTATGGCCAGTTAAACTTTGAATTTTTCATGATTTTTATAATCCTTTTTATGATCTTGTGATGATTTTGTAACTTTCATGATTTTCATGACAGCACACACTTGGATATATATAATACTATCAAGCATCCAGTTCAGGAACTTGCATTTATAATGAATTTTATCAATACCTTTATTTATATTATGTATAATCATAAAAATTTTTCTTTTTTTGCACTTATGAGAAACAATTTAAAACTCATTTCTACCCAGAAAGTCTACACATACTGAGAACTATAGCTACCTTCTACCTCTAGGGCACCTGCTCTATAAACTCAATCCTCACTGCTCTTGAATCTTAGGCTTTCAACAGATTTTACTAGTATCATGGCCCAAATAAAAAAATTTTTAAGAAGGATCTAAAAACTATTCCATTGAGCAAATAATTAGATGTACAGTACTTTAATGTAAAATACGATAATGCGTTTCATGCCGAAAAAATACTCAAATATTTTATGTATAATGTTTATTCAGAAAAATTGTACAATGTGCATTGTTAAAAAGCATGAATCATCATCATCTTTTCGCAGAATGAACCAACCTGAAATGCAAATTCAATTTGCAGAAAACAAAAAAAAAAAAAAAAANGTGATGTGAACGTGTGGCACAACGCGCGTTCAAACATCAAACGTGTACTTCTGCTTGCTGTACAAGTTTAACGTTTGAACTTCTGCTGCAACCTCTCTAATCTCTTAGTGATTTCTCATGTTGTTATTCGAGAGTTTGCTTCAATCAATACCTTTATTTTGTCTTCATCAGTTTCAACTGGCTTTCCAGTGATGCTGCTTCTGGCATAAAAAATAATTTTAAAAAAATTGTGTATGCTCATTTTAGTGACCTTGAACACTGTCACTTAAACCCATAGCATCTTGAAAATAAAATTTGATCCATCCAATTTTTATTACATTTTAAATTTCATTGCTTGTAT